AATTAATTTGTGAGTGTGTGTGCGTCAGGGCCGTCTTTCCGCATAGGCATGTTGGGCAGTAGCCCGGGGACCCCACCACGCTGCCCAGCTGACAGGGGAGATCCTATGGGGGAGGCGGCCCTGTTTTCTGGCTGTGGGTCCCCTTGGGCCAGTGAGGGAGATCTCCCTTCGATCGTTGAGAGGGAGCTAGGACCCAGGGCTGCAGGAGAGGCCAACCTGTAATGCAGATTGCTCCACACAATCTGCTTGCAGGAGGAGCATTGCTGCGCATTACCATGGCAATGCTCCACACCGCATTCTGTGTACAGGGGGACAGGAGACAGCCTGCAGCCAGACAAGATGCAGGCGGTACAGAACTCACAACTGGACCACCAGGGCTGGCTGTGTCCCCTCCTTCTTTCACCAAAGGTAAGAAGAAGGGTAAGGGGGTGGGGACATAGAGATGTTTACTTAATATTTGTACCTGCACCCCTCAAACTTTGTAACATACACATACACATACACCCCCACACTGCACCCCTTGTGTATTCAGCAGTCTGTGTGTACTCAGCAGTCTGTATGTGTATTTAGCAGTCTGTGTATGTATTGTATGGCATTTGTTGGAGGTACTGATATATAAAAGCTTAATTGTATCTATAATTTAAGTTTTTATTCCTATGAGCTGTGTAGGCAGGGCCCCAGTGCACTGCTTTGCCCAGGGGCCCATAAGGTTAAGATGGCACTGGTGTCTGTCAGTGTTAGTCTGGGCATGGATGGTGAGCTGATTCGGTGGTGCAATGAGTCACTTGACTGGATTTGCCACCTCCCCTGATTGATTCAATTATTTTCTATGGGTAGAGAGACTCTCTATAGTGTCCCTTTTTGGAAAGTTACAGGGTAAAATAGAACGTTAAATTTTTCCAGTTTATACACATTGACATTTGCCAAATTGGTTATGCTGCCTTGGAATCCATATGGCAGCCCAGGAATGAAAACTACCCCATGAGATATAGTCCCCAGGATCGCAACCAGCGGTTTGGGTTCGTCTGGGACCCGGTAAATCCCCAGGACGGTGGGGATGTTCTTTGGCGCCTTGCGGCGTTTAGGAATGCCCGCCAGCCTTAATGAGTTGGAGAACAACTAAGGTTTTTTTTTTTTTTTCTTCCCTACCCCCAATGAAAAATATTGAAAAAAAAAAAAAAAATCAATCAACAACTCCTTTCTACCGTTCGGATGTAATGGATCCTTCAGCAATATATACACCTGCATTTTTGGTCAGACAGTTTGAAAACCGACAGTTCTCTATGGTCATCTCGGCTTCACTTCCTGGACACAAGCAGGGAATACCATAGAGATTGTTGGTTTTCAAACACAGCTGACTCAAGGTGTATGTATGCTAAAGGATCCGGTTATATACTAAAGGTGGGGATGTGGATTTCTAGTTTTCTTCACATACAGGGAATTATTAGGCAAGTTGTATTTTTGAGGATTAATTTTATTATTGAACAACAACCATGTTCTCAATGAACCCAAAAAACTCATTAATATCAAAGCTGAATATTTTTGGAAGTAGTTTTTAGTTTGTTTTTAGTTATAGCTATGTTAGGGGGATATCTGTGTGTGCAGGTGACTATTACTGTGCATAATTATTAGGCAACTTAACAAAAAAAATATATACCCATTTCAATTATTTATTATTACCAGTGAAACCAATATAACATCTCAACATTCACAAATATACATTTCTGACATTCAAAAACAAAACAAAAACAAATCAGTGACCAATATAGCCACCTTTCTTTGCAAGGACACTCAAAAGCCTGCCATCCATGGGTTCTGTCAGTGTTTTGATCTGTTCACCATCAACATTGCGTGCAGCAGCAACCACAGCCTCCCAGACACTGTTCAGAGAGGTGTACTGTTTTCCCTCCTTGTAAATCTCACATTTGATGATGGACCACAGGTTCTCAATGGGGTTCAGATCAGGTGAACAAGGAGGCCATGTCATTAGATTTTCTTCTTTTATACCCTTTCTTGCCAGCCACGCTGTGGAGTACTTGGACGCGTGTGATGGAGCATTGTCCTGCATGAAAATCATGTTTTTCTTGAAGGATGCAGACTTCTTCCTGTACCACTGCTTGAAGAAGGTGTCTTCCAGGAACTGGCAGTAGGACTGGGAGTTGAGCTTGACTCCATCCTCAACCCGAAAAGGCCCCACAAGCTCATCTTTGATGATACCAGCCCAAACCAGTACTCCACCTCCACCTTGCTGGCGTCTGAGTCGGACTGGAGCTCTCTGCCCTTTACCAATCCAGCCACGGGCCCATCCATCTGGCCCATCAAGACTCACTCTCATTTCATCAGTCCATAAAACCTTAGAAAAATCAGTCTTGAGATATTTCTTGGCCCAGTCTTGACGTTTCAGCTTGTGTGTCTTGTTCAGTGGTGGTCGTCTTTCAGCCTTTCTTACCTTGGCCATGTCTCTGAGTATTGCACACCTTGTGCTTTTGGGCACTCCAGTGATGTTGCAGCTCTGAAATATGGCCAAACTGGTGGCAAGTGGCATCGTGGCAGCTGCACGCTTGACTTTTCTCAGTTCATGGGCAGTTATTTTGCGCCTTGGTTTTTCCACACGCTTCTTGCGACCCTGTTGACTATTTTGAATGAAACGCTTGATTGTTCGATGATCACGCTTCAGAAGCTTTGCAATTTTAAGAGTGCTGCATCCCTCTGCAAGATATCTCACTATTTTTGACTTTTCTGAGCCTGTCAAGTCCTTCTTTTGACCCATTTTGCCAAAGGAAAGGAAGTTGCCTAATAATTATGCACACCTGATATAGGGTGTTGATGTCATTAGACCACACCCCTTCTCATTACAGAGATGCACATCACCTAATATGCTTAATTGGTAGTAGGCTTTCGAGCCTATACAGCTTGGAGTAAGACAACATGCATAAAGAGGATGATGTGGTCAAAATACTCATTTGCCTAATAATTCTGTACTCCCTGTATACTTAAAAAAAAAAAAATTAAAAAAAATAGAAAAGAGTTTGAAAGTAAATGTTGTCCTTTAATAATATAAGCCTGCCTCCTTAGCCACACCCCCTCTTGCCAGAAAGAATTCCTTATCACATGGCTGTTCAGGGGCGGTAGGGGGAGCAGAGAGGAGCGGCCTAATGGCCTTTCACACCAGGCAGACCCTGGTATCACTCGATACCTGGAGCTCCTCTCTGGCTGGGACCATACTATCTAATGTGCAGTTTGCAGTGATTAAAGGACCACTCTAGGCACCCAGACCACTTCAGCTTAATGAAGTGGTCTGGGTGTCAGGTCCCTCTAGGATTAACCTTTTTTTTTTTTTTTTTTTATATGAAACTGCTATGTTTATAAATGGGTTAATCTAACCTCTAAAGCCTCTAGTGGCTGTCTCATTGACAGCCGCTAGAGGCGTTTGTGTGCTTCTCACTGTGAAAATCACAGTGAGAAGACGCCAGAGTCCATAGGAAAGCATTATGAAAAAAATAGTGTTTTCCTGGCACTATAGTGGTCCTTTAAAGGAACACTATATACACAAAAACAACTTTAGCTCAACATAGCAGTTTTAGTGCATAGGTGATGCCTCAGTCGTGTCACTACTTAATTCTCTGCTATTTAAGAGTTAAATCAGTTTTGTTTCGGTCTATGGTATGGCTGACAACCTGCATGGGGGGGCGGGGGGCAGAAGGAATATACATATTTTCATTCAAACGGTTTTCTTTTCAATTTAAAAGTTTATCTCCTGCTCTTTAATTACACACAGGAGGCTACTGCAGGGTCTAACAAGCTATTAACAGAGCAGGAGATAAGAAATTCTAAGTTAAAGGATCACTATAGGGTCAGGAACAAACATGTATTCCTGACCCTATAGTGTTAAAACTACCATCTAGCCTACTCAATCACAATGCTTCCCTGTAGGATTGACTGACAAGAAGGCAGATCAGGGGCAGAGCCAGCATGATTCAAACACAGCCCTGGCCAATCAGCATCTCCTCAGAGATAAATTGAATCCATGAATCTCTATGAGGAAAGTTCAGTGTCTGAATACAGAGGGAGGAGATAGTGAATGTTTGGATGCATTTTAGGCAGCCATGATCCAGGAAGGATCTCCAACAGCCATCTGAGGAGTGGCCAGTGACGTTATCACTAGGCTGTAATGTGAACACTGAATTTTCTCTGAAAAGAGGATGTATACAGCAAAAAGCCTGAAGGTAATGATGCTACTCACCAGCTTAATGAAGTGGTCTGGGTGCCAGGTCCCTCTAGGATTAACCCTTTTTGCTGTAAACAGTTTCAGAGAAACTGCTATGTTTACAAATGGGTTAATCCAGCCTCTAGTGGCTGTCTCATTGACAGCCGCTAGAGGCGCTTCCGCGATTCTCACTGATTTTCAGTGAGAAGACGCTGCCATCCATAGGAAAGCATTGAGAATGCTTTCCTATGAGACTGGCTGAATGCGCTTGCGCATTCAGCCGATGACGGCAGAAGGAGGAGATTCCCTAGCGCTGAGAGAGCCCGGCGCTGGAAAAAGGTAAGTGTTTAAACCCTTCCTCCCCATTCAACCCGGCAGGAAAGGGGCCCCCAAGGACCCTATAGAGCCAGGAAAACAAGTATGTTTTCCTGGCACTATAGTGGTCCTTTAAGCAAAATTTGAAATAAAAGTGTAATTATTAAATAACTCTTTAGAGGAAGTGTAAGTCACAACCAGGAAGCTGTGACTAAGGCTGCATTAACAAGGTGATTTAACGCCTAAATGGCAGAGAATTGAGCATATAGACTGCAGGGGCATGATCTATACGGCTTCATTAAGCTAAACGTTTTTTTGGAGACTACAGTCTCACTTTAAAACCTGCCAGCACTGTGAGGGAGACTTTCAAGGTAAACACAGTTTAAAAATTTGCAGCATTCCTTTACTTACCAAAAGAGTCTTTACGTTTGGTGTTATTCGAGTCATTACATCACCCACGAAATAAAGAGACGAGAGGCAGGTTGGCTTAGTTATTTATTAATATTATTCAGAAATGCGTTTCTGGCCAGTGTGATTAAATAGAAACTGCTAGTTCTATCAGTGATGGAGAATCCCAAATAACCACGCACTCTGGCAGGCACACACTATTTCCCCACAGAGTTGCAATACTGCACCCATACAGCTAGATGTGCAATCAAAAAATGCACTCTAGTATTAGTCCTCTTGCACGAGGTTAGGAAGGAGACAGCTGTGGAAGGATTTAAAAATGTGTAAATAATTCTTAATTTCCCAAACCGTTGGACTCCTCAAGTTGAAGGACTGAGGGACTTGGCAAAGAAACAAAATGGCCACCAGAGTGCATGTATAATAGGCTATAGAATTCGGTCCATGAGAAAGGGGAAGCTGTCCTTTTGACCAGCAGAACCAATTTTTCCCCTTTTAAGGAAGTTTGGAAAGTTAAGGTATAAATATGTTTTTAGGAATACAGAGAGAGGAGGAATGAAAGGAAATGTTTAATGTTTCTGGCAATGCACCCATGTATTTAAAATAAAATAAAAAATATAATATATATTTATATCTGAAGGGCCAAGAAAATGCAATACGGCACTCAGAAATTGAATATCACATAAAATATTGGATATTGCCTGCATAGATTTCAATACCTGGGCACCCTATTGCAGAAAAAAAAAAAATAGGGGATTTAAAAAAAACAAAAAAAAACTCCCAAGAATATGATGTGAAACAAATGCTCATCTCTGCACACATATAAAGGGTAGGGAGAATGACAAATTGTGGTCATCTAAATCCTCCCCTAAAAATAGCCATCCATTGACGAATTGGGGAAAAAATAAAATATATGTATATATAATATTCTCTCACCCTGTCTATCTTATCATACACACACACACACACACGCAAAAAAGTCAAGTTTAAATTCTATACTTTTTTTTTTAGACAGAAAAAAATGCCCTTACCTCCTCCCTACCCCCCCCCAAAAAAGCCTAAGCAACTGCATATATCAAAAAAGTATCTAAACATTTATATCAACACAACAGAAAGGATTAAAATTAACATTTTTATAAGGGAAGTGAGGATTTCATGTTTATTAACTTTAATTTTTTTTTTATTCATTTATTTTTCCTCCATCTCCCTTTGCCTTAAATAGCAACATGATTTTGCAGAGAGCAGGGAGGAAGCACTGTTGGAATATGGAACATGAGAATACAATGATGCAAGGAATTTGATGAAAAATGTAAGACTGTCCCAACTTTGCTCCCTTGTTATATGTGCACTGAGAGGTGTAATGGGGGTTGTAGAAAATATTTTGAAAACCACATTTTGGAATAATGCAGCATTTTCTTCCTAAAGAAACAGAGTGGGGGTTAACATATAAACCTCCCAATCACCATTTTGTCCTCTAAGTCTTCACAAATTGCGTCCAATGAAGAGAAAAATTTTTTAATAATCAAGCTAAACAGGTTTTAGAGGAAATACAAAATGTTCTATCCTCTTCATTACGATATTCTTCTTAAGGTGTAGAATTCAATGTTACTGCACAGTCCGTAGAAAAGGCCAAGATGGGGCATAAACTTTGTATGTATATATTTATATATATATATATATCTATATCTATATTTGTTGTGTTCAACAAATTCTTTGTTCCGACTGGATTTGTGCCTCCAAAAATCGGAAGTGGACCTGATTTATTTAACCATGCGGAAACAAAAAGAAGAAAAAAAGAAAATTAAGATCAATCCAGTTACACCCTCAAAACCATGCTCCAGGAATTGAGAACTTTGCCTCTTTTAGAGATTGGAAAGGGGGTAAAGCACTTATTTGTCTATTAAAAGGACTTAACATTTTAAAGCGGGGAGAGGAGAGGAGAGAGAGATTGAGGGTGAAAAATACACCATTTAAAATAAGAAATAGTAAAGAATTTGAAGATGTAAGCCAAGTCTACCCAGAGGCATAAAAAGTATTTTTTTTCGCTTTTTTTTTTTTTTTTTTAAAGGTCAAGAGGAGTTTGGGAAAAGGAGGAAAAAAAAATTAAATCCTGCGATATTCCTGTGCACGATTTCTCTGGAATGCTGCCACACCTTTGAAATAGTGCTACCCAGATTCCCATCTGCAGAAGAACTGGTGGTATAAATAGGAGCAGGAATGGGAGGGTAGTGGAATAGGGCCGTCCTTCAATGCACGGTGGAAGGTGGGAAATGGGAGGGATACAGTGCAGGGAAAACTGTCCTCTTTTAGTTTCTCTCACGTTCTCTGGGTTTGCGCATGTTATTTGTGTGTCTGGTTTTTCTGTCACTACGGCATTCATTATTTCCACGTTGAAGATTGGGTAAGGGAGCGAGATGGAATCATGTCTAGGAGGTATTCCCGTTGGCGGTCCACAGCTGCCGACTTATGCACAGTGAGGCCAGGATTCACAAAGGTTAAAGTTCCTCCTAGGATAAAAACAACCCCAAAACAGATTTGTTAGTATAGGACTCTATTCTTCATAACTGGCAAGATGTTAAATGCTCTTTATACGCACACGATACTTTAATTTATACTTCTAACCGCAAAGACTATATTAAATACCCTTAATATCTGCAACCCACACTTTCGTAGATAAGCACCATGGGAAAATTGTTTACCTCTGGGTTGAACATTTATTTATCGTTTCTCGAGTAGGTCATCTGAATGTACGAACTTTGGAAAACTAAGAAGTTATGCAGGTTATTTTATTCAAGCGAAACTTATTAATGTATTTTGTTTTATATTTAAACCAAGGCTAACAAACACCTAAAAAATAATTTAAAAAAAATATATAAAATAAAAAATTTATACCTTTACCACAATTTTTTTTTTTTGGAGGTGCAGGTATCATCCCATTGTACAGCGCTGCGGAATTTGTTGGCGCTATATAAATAATAATAATAATAATTTATAAGGTAACCATAACTTTTAGAATGGACATTTATGCATTACTTTTAAAACGTTATTTACAGTTTCGTCATGCAAATAGATTTAGAATTTCATGGCAAGATCGCCGATTTAAGTCATCTAGCTTTTCAGATCAATTAAATAAGACTAAACCTTACATTTCTGACAATTCACACTGCACTGATTAACCCTGATTGAGTTTTGTTAACAAAACTAGTCTCTAAATTTTATCCCTTGTAATGGTCTCTGAGATGGTATGATTACACCTACCTGCATTGATTGGGCTCTTCTTCCAGTTTCCTGATGCCATGTTGCCCTTGTTGATGGAACGCTCTCCAGGTTTAACAGTCCGGTTGGCAAGGGTGGCTGCATTAGTCAGCTTGGTCGTAGAAGGAAACGTGTGCAGAACGCCTCGTGTGGTCCCTGACAGTCCTCGAGATATTGGTGTTGGACTCTAGAAAAGTAAAATAGGTAAAGTTTTAGCTAAAATTACAGATTAAACTACACAACAGTCATAAGAAACAAACAAGTGTTCTACTAAAACTATGCCTTTCAGGGACCAGGGAACATTTGGAGAGAGACTACATCAAGAGGTATTCCCACGATACTGTCCTGCATTCTTTATATCCATTTATCTGCCCTTTGGCTCTTTCTTGTCCTTTTCATAGTAATGTTAACCTAATTTCACCTGTTTCAAAGAATGGTGTTGTACAGGATGTTCTGGCTTTGTTTGTGCGGGGGAGGAGCTCTGTTGCAATATCCTCTGCTCAATCTCCTGCTCCTGCTGGAGAGCCTTGACAAATGCAGCCTTCAGACGGTTTGTATGCTCAGCCTTCAGTGCCTTTTTCTGGTTGGAGGTCATGCACACCTCACACATGATGGTCCCATTCTTCTCCTGCCTCCATCGGCTGGTGAAGTCTGTCTTGCATTGAGCACAGCTATAAGGTTCATGAGAAGAAGGAGCCGGTATGGTTTTACCTGTGGAAGAGCATGTTTGGTGAATCTCAGGTCAGAGAATACATACCTTTTGTGAGTTCATTTTTGAAAAGACATTTATTAGTTTGAAGAGTTTATGCAATGGGACAAATTGCATGTAAATGCCATCTCCTATTTCCTGATGAATATACAAATCATTCGTACCAGTAACACAAATAACGGTGTTTAAACCACAAAATAAGCCTATCAATTAAGCACTTATTTTGCCAACAAATCCTTTCGTTCGGGGTTGCCAAAACGTAGATCCCCAGATGTTGTGAACTACAACTCCTATTATGCTTTGCTTGCCTTTAGAATGGCAAGGTATCATTAAAGCTGTAGTTTGAAAACATCTGTGTGTTTACCATGTGGGCACCCCCTGCTCTAGTTTATGGTTGTTTTACCCTTTTCAACCCTACACTGTCCCTTTTGACCCAAAGTTCATTCATACCTTGAGTCTCCAAGAGATTTTGCACCACTTCTTCCAGCCCCACTAGATAAATGAACTCATTATTCGCTGCACTTGGCAGGAAGTTAAGCTCAGGAGCAGGTGGCTTAGGAGGAGGTATCTCCAGCAAAGTCTTTTCCAGCTGCTTGCGAAGGGCCAACTTAGCAGCAGCTTGCCGACTGGCAGGGGAGTCATTTGAGTTGATGCTTGATGAGATGCTGGTGGCACTACTTGTTGTTCCAGCTGAACCTTTCAAAGACGTTGGGGATGCCTACAGACGATATGAAAAAGAAATTTAGTGATGAATATGTAATAGCATACTTTTTCGTAAACCTTGCACTATATATAAAAAAAAAGAAATTATCCAAATTTAGCACAAAAATTAATCAATTACTGAATATTTTTGTGGTGCAGTAAACATATGGATTCATAACCGATTAAGTTTGTGGTGCAGCAAAGAGATTTATTTTGGTTTATACAGGTCTATTGTTGGCTCACAACTACAACACTCTTTAAAACCCAAAGAATTTATTTTTATGGTTTAAACAAATGTAACATTGCAGAACAAGTTAAATAGTTTAAAGATGCTCTGTCTTTCAAGGTTTTTTTGTGTATTTCGCAAAGACCCTGATGGTGACTTAGTAGCTTGTAGTGCATTGGCCCGGGGTGCAGTGGCAGGTACATTTTCCTTACCTGCAGCTGTCCCTCAAGACTGCCACCAGGAAGATCCGGTGGATCCTCTTCAGCTCCTGGTGCTTTATCTTCCAGGAGCCAACATCAGAATAAAACACTGATGTGTATGGATTAAAGTTTGGGGAACTGATAAAAGACTGAGCGGTCACCTTAAAGTTTTGTCAAGTGTAGGAAAAATGTAAAGGACAAAGTAGTCGCTACTTGGTCTCAGATTTTGACTGCGATGGAATTTCAGTAAAATTCAAACAAAGTCAATTCTAGAATTTCATAGTGGTTTTATCTTTATGAAATACTCATTTAGGTGGATGGGGAAGTGCGGGGGTGACAGAGCCACCTTACGGAATTATAATTTCATCTATAATCTATTAATCAAAAGCTTGAACCAGTGACCTCTCAATTTGTGACTAATGACCGGTATTAAAAATGTTGCAGGTATTAAGACAAAGTCCTTCACGCTCCATAACCATTTTATAACCTTATACAAAAAGCTCTAGCTCTGACTTCATGAATATTTTTGCACTGTGCTCACACAAGGCTACAAACATGGCAGCGGTTCGTAAAATGGGCCTGTTTAATAAAGCCAGAAGTAAAATATATCTCATGAAATTAAACTGACATTTCTATTATTTTTTATACTACATAAATGAATGCTCCTTTATATCATAAAATAGAAAATACAGTTCATTTAATAACTCACTTGTGGTATGTTGACTAAAAGACTTGTGTTGGGGACATTTGCCACACGTATCAAGCCTTGTTGGATTATTCTTTGCCCCTGCATTTGAACATTCGGTACAGAAGCCCGGGGGGCTAGCAGTAGAGGAGGTGGTCCTGTGCTCGGGTGCTGTCTGATGTTGTGAATCTGGTGGGGGGATACAGAGATGGGCTGATGGTGGGAGAGGGGAGTAAAAGAAAGATTGAAATATGCATTTAAGAATAAAGAAGACACATAGTAAAAGAAGCAATTAGTCATTGGACAATGGTTCTTGACCTATGGGTCAGAGCTCAATATTGGATCTCCATGCTATTTCACGGAGTCCCAAATAGTTGTAATGGGCACATATCCATGTGGATCATGGCAACTGTGATATTATGATTGTAGCAGCACTGCTTTTTCCAGTGCAATGGAAACCCCTGTCACACAAGAGTGTCTAATAAGTTTCTGAGCTAGTGTCCTTTGCTTACTTTAGGAAACGGTCAAAAAAAAAAACTAAAGATCAAGAACCACTGTCCTAGGAGCATGCTATTTTTTTTCCTCCAGAAAATAAACAAAAAAATATTGCAGGCTTAAACCTACATTTAGCGTTTTGTGATACTACTTTAAAAAGTGAGGAAAAAGTGAGAAATCAGTTTGAAAATATACAAGTGCAGATATCAAAATGATCTACAAATCACATGTAAGGTTTCACAAATAACTACAGATAGGATATAACATATAGGTTTCCCTTGAGAACCATGTCTGCCTCTAAGATCATGTACCCACATGAACACTAGTTTGAAGAAATCAAAGTTAATTTTACTACATTGTTAGAGATTAGACATACGAGTAACGATTACAGGTTTCGACCCATTGCCTCACTTAAGAGTTTCCCCATACGTTTGTGTAATGTAATATATAGATGATGCAGGTAGTTACAAAGCACCTAGGCTAGCTTAGAGAGCTACATTACTTTAACAAGAAGACACTGTTATGGACACTTTACAATGAGGATATTTAATTTAAAATGAATATTATAGATCATCATCTAGTCACCAACAATGCACAAGAGCTATTCTTAACGAAGGACAATGAAACTCACCTGTGCTCCTCTAACAAGAGTTGGCATAACTATCTGTGTAGACTGTTTTGATGGTGCTTGCTGCCCACCTCGTACCAAGGGTGGTGGGATAACTGTGCCAGAGATCCGTGAAGTGACCTTGACATAAAAATAAAACAAAAACAACAAAAAAAACATTAAATTAGTGTGTGTGGGATTTGGAAGGTAGGGATGGCGCAAAAACAAGACAACTAAACAAGAGCCTGGCATGTGTGGTTTACTCTATACCTTCTGAGGAGCTGTCTCTTTTTGGATCTGACTTTGCCGTAGCTTCTTTAGAAGAACGAGCTTCGCTTCCTCTAACCGTAATTCTTCTTTCAGCTGCTTGATCACTCTCTCCCGCTCCTCCGGACTGCTCTTTTGCAATAACTGTAGCAAAGATTAAAGAATAAAACTGAATTGTCCAATAACACTGCTTAAAAAAATGCAGATTATATTACAAGCATAAAAAGGACTTTAAGGAAAAAGGGACACTAGAAAGTAGGAGTTGTCTACAGATACTAAAAATGCAAAAGTTATTGTACATCAACTGCAGATCACAAGTAGGACATGTAGGTGATACACAAGTGAATTTTGAATTTGCAAAAATGTATAGCAAAAATCAAAAAGGTTATGGTGGAGAAAAATTGTGACTGAAAACCCCTTCCACCTGAAGTCTGTGGATAGTAAATACAATGTTAAACAAAAATCTGCACACAAGTCAAGCCATAAGACTTGCTTTTCCCACAGAAATCACATTTGCAGCGATGCTACTACTGCAAAGGATTCTGGGTAGGCATATGCAAAATTAGTTCAACAAAGAATCACATTTTTGCATCATTCCATTTTAAACATGGATTCATTTGAGTTTGTGTTTGCTGTATACAACAGCTTTGAAACACAACTTAGGAAAAGATACAAAGCTAGTGAACCACTAATGGACAGCGGTTTCATTGTTAATGCAAATCATTGGCATGAGGTTGGCTACTGGTTGGCTATTGAAGAAAAAAAAACTCTGTGGAAAAGGCAAATCTTATGGCTTGACTGGTGTGTAGTTTTTTGTTTAACATTGTATTAACTATCCAAAAATATACAGGTGATACTCGAAAAATTAGAATATCGTGCAAAAAGTTCATTTATTTCAGTAATGCAACGTAAAAGGGGAAACTAATATATGAGATAGACGCATTACATGCAAAGCAGGATAGTTCAAGCTGTGATTTGTCGTAAGTGCGATGATTATGGCTTACAGCTCATGAAAACCCCAAATCCACAAGGAAGGTAAACTGGGGGGCTTAGAGGCATTTGGAGGTGACTAGGGGGGCAATCAGATGTAGTGGAGTCGGGAGGTAAAAACTGAATTCGGCCATGAAAATGCCGCTTTAAGCAAACCTCAAGAGAATATATTATAGTATTTTGTTTTGTAAAGAAAATAGCAGCAGCTCACCAAGAAAGCCTCAGAGTTGGGCTCTTTTGCTGGCCTGGTCAAGCCATTCATCCGTGGACTCGAAGGTTCATTATCCGACAACACAATCACATCTGGAGAAGGGACCCGCTTTTCTCTCTTCATGTCACTGTAATGTAGAGGGGAATTTAGAGAAAAACAAATAAATATCAATCTGACGAGGTCCATCATGGCAGGGAGACCCTTAACGTCGGGTGACGGACCTTGTCCGTCAAGCGTTAAAATTAACCCCATAACGCAGCGATTGCGGGGTTAACAGCGCTCCAGTCTGCCTCTGTATTAGAGGCAGACCGGGAGCACCCGATCGTGCTGTCCCTGCAGCAGTGCTCGCTCTGACAGGCTGTCAGAGCAAGCACATGTGCTGCATGTACTTACCTTCTGCCTCCCTGCACTACCGGGTTCAGCGTGAAGTGCAGGGAGACGGATCAGTGATGATCCTGCTTCCCGTTAAAAAATAAAAATCAAGTTAATTTAAAATCCCACCACCCTTTACCCATTTTAATAAATTAACTCCTTCCCTGCCAATTGATCTCTGCCTACAGTGATCAATTGGCAGGGTATACATTTTACTATGATCTGGGGTGTTTTTGTTTTTTTAACCCCTTAGGGGCAGCTTCTATTTTTGTAACCCTCAGGGGTTAATTTTATTAATTAATTTAAATATATTAAAATATTATATTAAGCTAGCTGGGGTGTGCAAAAGTTAGTGGGGAATTTGGTGTTAGGCCAACTAGGGGTTAACGTTAAAAAAGTTTTAAAACAAGCTTTAGAACGTTTAAAAAAAAAAAAAGTTTAAAAAGCTTTAACGTTTAAGAAAAAAAAAACACACACACACCCCCCTTTACCCAGTCCAAATAAAAATTAACCCCTTCCCGGTCAGTCGATCAAAATACAGATCACAGTATTATACTGTGATCTAATTTTTTTTAACCTCTGAGGATTAACTTTTTCTTTTTAACCCTCAGGGGTTCAATTTAATTAAATATTTTATAATTATATATTTTGCTAGCTGGGGTGGGTGGGAGTTATGGGAAAGTGGAGAATTTACTGTTAGTGCTGCTTACTGCAAGTTAGGGGTTAACAGTAAAAAAAACAAAAAAAGCTTATAAAAATGTTAAATCGGTAAAAAAAAAAAGTTTTTAGAAAGTTTAGGAAAGTTTTAAATAACTTATTAGCAAAAAAAGTTTAAAAACTAGGTTTAAAAAGTAGAGGTAAAAGAAAAAAAAAATACATTTAAAAACGCTCATTACTACATCTGGAACAAACTAGAGAAAAAATGGTTCAAAATACGCCTTTTGAATTACCCACTGTGTATTCTTTAATAAATAGTATGTGTTTGTGGGGAAGTTTCAATAACCAATCTTCTAAACTACTCCAAAACGGAACATGGACACAGCACAGCGTAAAACTTCAAAGTTAGAAGAAAAAAAAAAACTGAACGGCTGTGACTCAAATGTACCCCTTCAACATCCACATATGCCTGGCAAAGGTACATATGGGGGTATTGCTGTACTCAGATGACAAAAAAACAAACAAACAAAAAAAACCTCTTTAGTACTATACTCTGTACAAGCTAGCGGAAAAATGATCCCACGCCAAGGTTCAAAATATTATACAGTCATAGCACACATACGATATGCAAAATATACTGTGCAAACTCACTTTGTGTGTCAAGGCGGCAGAAAAAACGCTTATTACCACTACACTTGGTACAAGGTAGCGGAAAAATAATCCCACGCTAAAGGTTCAAAATATGCCTTTTGAAATACCCTAGGATGTGTTCTTTAAGAAATGGTATGCCTTTATGGTGTAGTTGTAATATGTAGCCTGCTCCAGTGCTCCAAAGTGGGACACGGACGCATCAAAACCCTCCATGAAAATTCACACTTAAAAACCTTAATTTGTCACGTCTCTTTTACAGCAGTGTAACTTCACAAAATAGTGTCTAGGTCATACATTGGGCATATTGTTTTACTCAGAAGACTTGGCTGAGCATAATTTGGGGGGGTTTGAACTTAGTGGCACATATGAAATATACAAGATGCCCAGCAAAAATGTAATCCGTATGTAAAAAATGCCCAAAATTATTTACCACATACTTTGGCCTATATTGGTGAAAAATTTGGGGGCATGTTAAGACACAATATGCACCATATGAGATACCCTGGAGTGTCTACTTTTACAAAGGCCTTTGTGGGTTTTTTTTTTTTGAACAGTCAAACTGCTATAATGCACCAAATTGAAGCATAGGCCAATTAAATCAGTCTCTCAAAATTCTACTGTAAATATTGAAAAGGACAGGTCTCCTATATGGCACTGTAGCTTCACGAAATAGTGCCAAAGACATACATACAATGGGGGTATCGTACTCAGCAGTTGTAGCTGAACACAAAATAAAGTTTTGTGCAGGAATAGCACACACCAACTTTACAAAATACACATGAGAAGTTCCTTATTCTAATGTGTGCCCCCAAAACATTTTTAGCAGAGATTGGTGGTGAAATGGCTACGTAGAAAGTGTTAAAACAACCTTGGGTAAATAACCTGTGATGTCTACTTTATATAAATATATACACTTGTGTGGCAATTTTGTTTTCAAACATAGCAAATTCTAAAATCGCTCCACATTAAAAGTTTATTTAACTCCTTGTGCTTTGTGACCTGTAACTACAAAAACAAAACAAAAAAAACTTAAAATCCCAGACACATTATATATTCTGTAAATCAGAACAACTAAATTAATTTATTTTTAATTACTTTCCTTAACCTGCACTAATTATGCACACATTATTGCAAAAACTGTAAAAAAACAAAAGAGAGTGTGAGAGAGAGAGAGTGTGAGAGAGAGAGAGTGTGTGAGAGAGAGAGAGTGTGAGAGAGAGAGAGAGTGTGAGAGAGAGAGAGAGTGTGAGAGAGAGAGAGAGTGTGAGAGAGTGTGAGAGAGTGTGAGAGAGTGTGAGAGAGAGAGAGTGTGAGAGAGAGAGAGTGTGAGAGTGAGAGTGTGTGAGAGTGTGAGAGAGTGTGAGAGAGTGTGAGAGTGAGTGTGAGTGAGAGTGAGTGAGAGTGAGTGAGAGTGTGTGAGAGTGTGTGAGAGTGTGTGAGAGTGTGTGAGAGTGTGTGAGAGTGTGTGAGAGTGTGTGAGAGTGTGTGAGAGTGTGTGAGAGATATATATCAAATTAAAGCCCTTTCTGTCCTTTAACCCCTTAAGGACCAAACCTCTGGAATAAAAAGGGAATCATGACATGTCACACGTCATGTGTCCTTAAGGGGTTAAAAAAACAGTATATAATATGTGTCGGTGCAATAAATGAGAGAGACGCAAATAGCAAGAAAATGCAAAAATTGCTTGTGTCATTAAGCATAAGACAAGCTTCTGAAGCGGTGTCCTTAAGGGGTTAAGAAGTACACAAACCTTGGAATTTATACAAATACTGTCCATATTCCATTATCCATCTATCCAAAATACTAGCCATCTATTTTCTACTCTGTTTTCACATGTGAAATCACTAACCTGCTTATGTGTTAAAAAGAACACTCCAGTGTCCAGACTGCTGTAGTGGCTATGGTGCATGAAGTGTTCTGGCATCCCCCCAAAGTAAATTATCAAAATGTTTATGGACAGGGTGCAGTGTTCCCTCAACCGCTTCCATAAACCTGTTACCTTCACTGTTCAGAGGCAGGGCATTGCTGTTCCTGCATGAGAAGCAAGAAGCGGTGTAGGCAGCTGGGGGGCCTCGGTAAGGTCTGCTTACTCTAGGACACAGACGGCGAACCTATAAGACTTAGGAAGTCGCCTAGGGCGCACTGACCCGGGGGGCGCCAGATTTGAGCAACTCGGTAGGAGGGTAGCACATAGCGCTCCCTCCTGCCAGTCACTCTGAATAGCTTGGCAGGGCGGCACGGTACTTCAGTTTCCTGTACCCGGCCGGACTGAAATTAAGTGCTCACAGAGAGCACTTCCTTTCAGTCCAGTCGGGTACAGGAAACAAGCTCCTGAACCGTGGTCCGCACCGCACAACCACACTACACAGAGAGGTAGGAGGCACAACAGGATGGGGGGGGGTTAGCACCAGGGGGAGAGGGAGAGAGACCACTAAGGGAAGTGGGGGAGAGAGGGAGAGACCACTAAAGGAAGGGGGAGGAGAGTGACCACTAAATTGAGGGGGAGAGAGGTAGAGGAGAGAGACCACTAAAGTGAGGAGGGGGAGACAGGGAAAGGAGAAAGACCACTAAAGGGGGGAGGGTGCAGCTTTAAGGACGCAGGGGACAGCTCTAAGGGAGGGGAGGAGAAAGAGAACAAAGGGACAGAGGGGTAGGGGAGTTCACAAGGTGACAGGGAAGAGAACTAAGGGACAGGAGGGGAAGGGAGAGCAGTGTCAGTGTGTTTAATTGCCCTGTTGGCTCTTTGAGGAAAATAAATTGGTTTGTATTGCGGTTTGGACATTGGCTCAAAAATGTTCGCCATCACTGCTCTTGTAGGACACCAAGAGCACTCCTGGAACCATAACTACTACAGGCCCATCATAAACTAAACCATGCAGTGAATTTTCAAATCTTAAGTGACACGTATGCCAGTAGTGAAATAACCCCTTAAAGTGCAACAGTCATTTGTGGCACTTAATTTTCTTTTAAAATGTATTTAAATATTTAGAAAGTGAAATAAAAAAAATAAAGAAATAAAAAATAATCTAGTCCAGGCACACCATGGTACACAATTCAAGTGAGGAGTACAAAAACCATTTCAGTTTCCCTTAATCCACTAGGTTTGCAGTTAGCAGAGAAGGTCAGCATTTATAAGGATGACTGACAAGAAGTCAAAGTTTAAAAATAGAAGCATGGGATTCTACATTGTGTATTTTTCAGGTCGCTCAAAAATATATTTGCTAAATATATGGGATAGGTAGACATAAGATGTCGGAGAACAATTCCCTTTAAGTTACAGATTGCACAAGCAGAGTTAATTTACACACTAGACTAGAGGAAAATATAATTGACAGTGTTCCTTTAACTTCCAACAAAAGTGATCATATGCATATTGCAAAAAACATTACACAAGCACACAAGGTTTTTAGTAGACTGTAAAATGTATTTAGCTTTAAAATGGGAAGCAGAACTCACATGACAATTCAGTTCGTGCACAGGTAAATAAACGGTAAACTACAAGAAAGTCATGTGATAAAAGATGAATGGCTGCAGAATATCAATCAACACTCATAATTAAGCAACCCTACAGTCTAAGGCAGCGTTTCCCAATTAGCATTCCACAGAACCAAAGACAAAATTGGGATTCGGCTGCAATTCGCCCGTCGGGTGGCTGAAGCATTTAAGGCCACCCGATCGGTATCGCTAAACAGGGGTCCAGTCAGGCGCCGCGGCCGTCTAATACCACGTCCAGACTCCGGTTGTATGGGATCCTGGGAGGAAGTGACAGCACTTACTCCCATTCGGAGAGTGCCGGCTAGAGGGAGCAGCACACCAGGCTAAACCAGCAGCACTTTAAACCCTCATGCAGAAAAAAGGTAAGTGAAGAGCAAATTTGCACATATGTGTGTGTGTGTGTACACCTGTGTCAGTATGTGCATCTGCCAGTGTGTGTGTGTGTGCGCGCGGATGTATCGGTGTGCATGTATGTATCTGTGTGTGTGACACATAGGGGCACACAGATGCACACTGATAAAAACACTAACACACAGATACACACTGTGTGTCAAAGTGTGTATCTGTGTACAAAGTGTGTGTGTCTGTGTACTAGCGTGTATGTGCCGGTGTGTATCAGCTTTTGTCTGTATCAGTGTCTGTGTGTATATGACTGTATGTGTCAGTGTGTTTGTTTGGTAATGTGAAAGTATGTAAGTACATGTTCGGACATCCCAGCATTAAACACCAACACAACACACACTCCTGCAAACATGACAAAAATACACCCCTGAACGCTAACTCCAAAATTATGGACAAAACACTCAAACACCAACTGTACACCCAAATGTACATCCACATATTACAAACACATCCCTGTATTAAAACTATAAAATTATATACAAAACACCAACTCTACACACAAAAACACACCTGCTCCTAAGTACTGCAATCTGTCTACTATCCGTAGAAATTAGTGTGTATTGTGTATATATAGTAAAAAGATTTTTTAAAAAAAAACAACACAATTATAATGGACTTTGCCTTTAGGAGCATGGTCCATACAGAGAGATTGACAATACTGGACAACATTTTTATAAGTATGGTAAGGAAATGACTTTCCATAGATTTTAAATAAGCGCGCACACACAAAAAAAAACAAAAAAAACTTTATGGCTCCCAGAGTTGCTGCCTTTCCAAAGACAAATGTCAGCAACGGACATCTTTGTACCAGATGCAAAGTTGTTAGAGTGCTTATTGACCTTTCAAGGAGTACATTGAGTGCCAGGAGAGTTTTGTCAAAATGCTTGACATTTTCACAAACATCAGGGAGGCTGCATCCACCAACTCCTAGGTCTATAATCAGTAGAATTAGACGAAGTGTTTACAATGTTTAGAATATCCCTTTAAGTGAGGAAAAAAGCGAAAGAGGTTCATAGCTATTGTTACTATAGGCACACACAACAGATTGCTAGCTTTTAAAGGAACACTATAGTCACCAGAACAACTACCTTCAGGCCTTTTTTATGCAAACGCTGCTTTTTCAGAGAAAAGGCAGTGTTTACATTGCTTTTAGGGACACCTCCAAGTGGCCACTCCTTAGATGACCACTGGAGGTGCTTCCTGGGGCAGTGCTGCCAACAAAGCAGCCCTGACGTTCAGCGTCCCCACGCTCTGCATGAAGATACTAAATTTTCCTCACAGAGATGCATGGGGATTCAATGCATCTCTATGAGTAGGTCCTGATTGTCCAAAATGGCATTTGGCCCGCCCCCTATGGGAAAACATTGGAATGTGCAAAAAAAGGCTATTTGATTATGTCAAAGGGGGCGGAGCCAGAGTCAGAGTTTTAAACTTTTATAGGGGGCAAGCCACCTAAATGGTGGGTTAAACATTATAGGGTCAGGAATACAAGTTTGTGTTCCTGACCCTATAGCGTTCCTTTAATAACCATCAGTGTATGAAGGGTGGAGCTTCCACATAAGTCTTTACATATGCTCTGGTGGACTTCTGTTTTTTTCTTACCTCTGCTCTGTCTGATCACTCAAGTTGCTATGTGTAAGATGAGAGATGGTTGAGGCAGTTGAGAAAATGGAAAAATAAAATACATAGACCAGCATATCTTGCACATGGTGGTCAGTCTGCTCAAAGACATTTATGCAAAAATATGTATCAAAATGATATAATGTGCTGACACCATGGGATATTCTGTAGATCTAGATCTGCATCCCCAGAGACATTGACCATTTAGACCATGGGGTCTCTGGGATTTTAAAATCCATCTGCTTTCCTTAATACGTAACCAAGAGTTACCCAAATATACAAAATCCTCAAATTATTGTAACAGATGTAACCAACACCACGAAAACCCCAATACTAAACGTTATTTCTTTCCCTCTCAACCAATAAGTGTATTCATAATTATGCAAATAATCAACTCCTCATCCCTTACGGAGATGACCATGCCTTGCAGCGAATTGGCCTGTTAGGGGCCAGCTACTATTTAATGGTGTTAAAAGTATAATCTGAGATTGAATTACGTTTTAGAGATCTTGCATGACTATTTCTCTAATTTAATCTGTTAACCATACAGTTATACTCCAGGGACATCTACTCAATTGCAAACATTCACATTCCTGATCTTATCTTTAAAAAGGACAGACACACAGAGGCAGACACACACACTTAAAATGGGAATCTGAAATACAAAAAAAAAAAAAATTATAAACACCTAGCATACACACAGATGTGTGTATACAATACACACACACACATATATATACATATATATATATATACACACACACACACACACACTTTTAAAAAAAATTATATTTAAACCTGGTACATCGATACTTTACTCCACTTGCTATAACCAATATTTTAAGCATAGAAAAAGCCCCACAATACTGCTAATTAAAAAGATTACTATGTATCAGTGCCTGTGGTTATCACAATTTGATAAAGATATTTAGCTAGTAATGTGTTTTTCCTCAAAGCTTCAGACTGTGCAAGCATATTCTAGCAAAACACAAAGGAATTCGGAAGAGTTGATAAAACTGCCTATTTTACAGAATGCCATATAGAAAACTGCCACTAGATGGCACCCAATGCACTGAAATAATTTTACATTGCACAAAAAGCTTTATTTAAAAAGCAGTGTTCTGGACAATGCAAAGTAACGTATATAATCAACAATACACCTAAACAAAACTCCATTCATAGAAAATTCTAGATGCATTTTGTAGCAGTTTTGTGTAGAACAGTCAACAAGGAAAGCGCTCTGCTGGCAATGAATTTAGAATTGGTTACAAAGTATAATTGCAACAATAAAATGAACCTATTCTGTTAATCTTTGGAGGACATTCTATTTACATCAGAATAAAAAAAAAAAAAAGTGTGAGGTTCTCTTTAAAATATTAAGAACATACCAGTCATGCTACATGCAATTTTTATTAATTAGATAACGTGACACTACCATAAACAGAACCACAGCAGCTTAACATAGCTGTTCTGGTATCTGTAGCCTGTCCCTGCAGGTTTTATTTTTAATGTAAACCTGGCCTTTTCAGAGAAACTGCAGTGTTAACTTTGCTGCCTAATAACACCCCTAATGGCAGTCACTCAGACAGCCACAAGAGGTGCTTTTTAGTTCAGCACTGGAGTCAGCATCCATACACTCTGTTTGGAGGTGCAGAATATTTCCCCATAGAGATGCATTGCTTTAATTCATCTCTATAAGTAGATGCTAATTGGCACACTTATTTTGCTGCGCATGCGCACTAGCCTCCCAATGATTCTTATGGGAAAGCATTGGATCAGCTGAGAACATCAAAATTAATTATCTCGGCAATGGAGCCACGGCCAGCATTGGCAAGACCAGTATGGCGTAGGAGAAAAGGCTTTTATAGGTAAAGAGAGGCCAGGGACCTAAATGGAGATTCCTGCACTAACACTATAGTGTTGCTTAAAAAACGATTGAGCTTGTTCTTCCTCGTGCAGGAGGTCTCACCCTTGCTAGAGAAGTATACTAATTCTGTAATAGTCACTCCATTCTGGCACTCCATTTAATTGAGTCGGCAATGAAGGGCTTTGTATAAAAATGATCACATTCACACAAGCTGTGCGCATGCACCATTTATTTTGCATTAAAAAAGTGTTATTTTACCTTAATACACAAATGAATTTCACACCCTTTCTGCAATTCCCAACAATAATCCAAATTTTACCATTGATTACAATGGTTCACACAAGGGAACAGGCGCAAATAGGAAATGTCTTTTTTTATTTTAATACATAACCTTTACGGTGCTAGTGGAAAGGAGCACCCTGCACAGGGAAGTGCCAAGACAGATGTAAGCAAGAGCCTGGTGTGTGATTGTGTTACACAGACTCTGAATGATTGTGGCGCCGGCACTGCTGTAGAGAGGCAGTCTTATCACACGTTCTAAATCCTAATTTATCATTTTAAATGGCATATTTATTCATTGCTTAAGGAAACAACAAAAGGAAGGTTCTCTTTAATATAGCAATATAGTGAGTAGAGTTCTACAAGTTCTACCTCTCCCCCACATAACAAAATAAGGAAATTAACTATTTTGGTCGTAAAGAGGCAATATCCACTTAGCTAAGTGGTCTTTATATGCCTTGAGAATTTCTTTTACTTTTATTGAATAAATGGCTTTCTCCCTCAGTAGAGTAGATCACCTGTAAATAGACCATGCATGAGAATGATCAGTGTCATGCTCTGAAAAGTGATGCTCAGATGTAAAAGGGGAGTCACCGCCAACGGAATGTTCCAGAGTTTTCCCACAAGGACTGCTTCACTTGTAGTACTTTGCACTAATATTTCAGGGCACTCCAACTTGATAAATATCACACAAAGGGAAAAGAAATCACAGGAGGTTCTCTTTTTTTAAATAAGAGTACCTTATTTAGTATTACTTTTGTAGGATGTCTTTTTAATGGAGTTTGTATGTAAATATTTTACACAGTTCATGAACTACAGCCCAGTGTTTGAAATTGCAACACAATTCAGTTTATGGCAGGACATTGGTTTATTAATTTCTAGACATCCGCATTTCCTTAAAAGCAATATTAACAAAAATTTAAACTAATAACAGATCATTGCAAATGCCAATTAAGTCTTAGCAATGTAGCACTGCGGTTTGTGTTTATTAGTATATTTTACACAGCATGCAGAGATGACTTAATATGGATTCGCAATCACTGATGTAGGCGTTGCACAGATATACACCTGATCATTTAAAAAAAAAAAAAAAGTGCCTGGGTTGGAAAAGGTTAGTCATTTAAAGGATTAAAGCCACCATGTAAGCATTACATTCTAATCGCACAACATGGAAAGAATAGTCAGGGTTATCCACCAACCTATGCAATATACCCCCAGAGTGCAGAGTGTGCTATAGTGCCCTTTGGGGTATGTGCAGAGTTAAGGTGCATATAGAAAGGTACCTTTCCACTGGCACGATAAGATCTCCCTGACAAGCCCCACATGCCTCTCTAACAAGGAAACACATGGTCATCACCTCTCACCGGTTCAGATAACAGTGAAGGCTCTTTTGTGGTCTCAGTGCTTCTGTGTAAATTAGAGTGCTGCACCTGGGTTAACAGCAGGATGAGCACCTAAACTAAAATGAGTTCCCACAATTATTAGTGGGGAGGCAGAAAACACAGACTTGCCATACATACAACACACCCATACACAATTATCCACGGGTTGGTGGACAGACTTAAGAAATTCCTAGGTAAGATGAAAACAACAGAGTGTGTACTTAAGTGGGAGTTATATACAAATGTGTGCCGTTCTGAAAAGTTTCACCTGTTTCCTAATTAAGATGAAAACAACAGAGTGGAAACAAACAAAATAGCGGGGTGAAATAAAAAAATAAAAATTGTAACAAACATACATGTCAAATAGTAAGGATGAAAACAGAATGGAAAAAAAGAAAGGAGCGGGACTAGCAGGGAGAAGCTAGAAGGTCCAAAAAGATGCAAGGAGAGAACGAAGGGAGATGTGTTACGCACAAGAAAATATAAAACTAGATTTCTGACTAGAGTGGTAAGCATCTTTACCCCAGCTTTGTGGAGCACTTCTGCTGAAAAAAAAAAGTACTGAGGCCTTTTTTTTTTTTTTGAATAAACATTAAAAATACTGTAACATTGAAAAGAATAACTTTAAAGGTTTATTCAAAAAAATTGCAATTATTAAACATGATGGGGAAGATTTTGGCCACAAATAGTTCAGACAATCAACAGATGCTATTTTATGATATAGAGTTTAGTTTATTTGTGTTAACCTGCACTAAACAAGACAAACTACTTAACCTGTGCCTCATTTGTATAGTCATCACACATGCTTATTAACGTGTTCTAATAAAGTCTATTTTAACATGACTAGGCACTCATTTTAACTGCACAATCTGAAGAGGGTAATACACACCAAAAAGGTCTACTCCCACCAGGGTGCTCCAAATTAGGAGGGTCAAAATCCCAGCAATTCAATAGAAGAAACATTGATATCTTGGCACACCTGGAGATTTCTTACGAAGACAGACTATTTAAATGCAGACAACATTTGAGTCCCACAGCAAACCCTTGCTTTAACAAAGGCTTGCTGTAGGGCTGAAACATTACCGTACTGTGACACTTCAAATAAAGCCTAATTTAAAAAAAAAAAAAAAAAAAAAACTCCAGGTGTGCCCAGATATGGATGCTTCTTTTTAACCGCACATCAGAGTACCCTGATGGCAATAACTTCTAACTTCATACATTTATTCACTTCCCTTCTATACTCTATGGTGAGGTTGCCACTATTGAGAAACTGGATGGAGGGTTCACTCAAGGCAAATGTGCTGAGGGGGTCAGTTTAAATTCCCTTTAGTGGGAGTGGAATCCAAAACCTACAGATATTATGCAACATCAGCTATGAACTGCTTGGAGCCATTGGCAATAAAGTACAATAGAACTAAAGTTCACTACACTGTGAATAAAACTAAAGGTTTATCATAATTTATTTCAGTAAAGGCTGTTTAAAGCCAGGATGGTCTGGGAGTCCTAAGCTTTCTTCTTATCTATAGGGGATGTGGTGACATCTATGGCCATAAAGTACCCATGCAGTACCCATGCACCAAGTCTGTTAACATATTCTGGTGGTGTCCGTGGCACAACAAACAAAAACATGCACATTTGATTACAGCAGTTCAATTGAGACCTCATTTTGGTAAGGGCACAACAAACATTCTGTTACAAGATGGTGCCCGTGTAAACATGCTAACATGGTGAAAGTACTTCAAAGAGCTTTTGGCCAACACATGAGTATCAAAGATGTGTGAGGATGCATTTTTAACAAGGTCACAGTGTTTCTCAAGCACTTGACAGATATGGGCCTTTTATGTCACAAAACAAAAACATTTTGTTTAAATTCACATTAGAAGTTTCTTCTGCAAGATTTAAAACGCTGACCAAAAGTCAAAGCAGAATCTAGTTGGAATCCTGATAATGTGTGTTTAAGAATTACTAGATAACTTATTTCATCAAAAAACAGACTGGGTTATTCACTAAAGTGAAAACTCAAAGTGAATTTCAAATTTACATCAAAATCATGTCAGCCATTCTTCCAGCTTGGTTACCCTTGCTCAAAAATTTAAAATTCCCAGTGAATAGCCCAGATAATTGTACTGAATTGAAAGGAGTTGAGGATTTGGTTTCAAAATAAGCTCTTTTTTTTTCTAGAAATTTGTCATTTGGGATTTAATTCACTACAAATCAGTATTTTGTAAATAAATCCATTGTGTATCAATAAAAAAAAAATAGGTTGTTTCTAGACAAGATTTGGTTTGTTCTTTTCCTTCTTCCCCACTGGTAAGTTTTATCGATTCATCAAATTCTGATGCAAGGTAAACATGTATTCTGTATAAAGCACGCGGAATGAACACAAAATCTGGTAAGCTATGAAGGCTGCTTTTTATACCTGTTCTGCCCTTAGATTCCCTAGGAGAATCTGCAAATTTATACAGCACACCAAAAAGGTTTAAAGTTTTCATACTTAAAGTGGGACTGTCACTTCCCAGCATTTTTAATATTTTCTTTACTTATCCTTATATTTAATTATAATTATTTATTTTGCAAGGTGTGAATACAAGCTGCTGAAGTTTAACACAAGTTAGAGGTAATTATCAATGTTTTATTCAATGGTGAAAATGCGAGAGAAGTGACCGTTCCCCCATTAATACTAGACTAACCAATAATGTTTGACTGGCTAAAACAACACGTAAGAAGTATGTTATATAGTGAACAAGAGCATCAATGGAATAGTTCAGAAGGAAAATAGATGAGCTGAGTTTCAAAATCAGAAAAGGGTACTTGTATATATCCATTACTATTATGTAAGGCTCAATCATGTCACTGCAGTGGACATTCTACCTGCCATAAACAGGTAAACAGACAGCATCCTGCAAAGGAGTGTCCAAACATGAGTGAGAAACACTGTGTCCATCATTAAACTATGACAGAAATATTTTAGAAAGGTTTTGCATTTAATTTTTAATGGATGTTGGGGGGGGGAGGGGAGGCTTCAAAAATATACACAATTTGTTCTAACCTTAAGGTATGGTTTAGTGCAGTGATTTCTAGATATTCATTTTATCTAGCACCATATGAAGGAAATCATATAGGCTGAAATGCTTCTGTCAAAAGGAAAAAATTTTTTAAAAAACAAGGAATTGCTGAAGGAACCTCCAAAAACTCAAAAAAGGACCACTCCACAGTGAAAACCCATGGGGATTTTTTTTCTTCTTTTTTTAATAAGTTTAATATATCTCAGCTTAGAGAAAAGGAATCTGACGAATACCTGGAACAAAGCCCCACCCCTACAAACTCGACAGGCCATGTTCGAACGAATGGCGGACAGACGAGGAACTAACTAGCCTCGCATGACACCTCTTACCAAGACCACATAAAACAACAGAGACTAGATACGACCCCAAAAGATCCAACGCCAAAAAGCGACCATGGGCCAGCAAGATACCGGACAAGACAAAACCAACCCCTGGACACACATACGACACACCTTCACCCCGTCCGAGGGGAACCCAGGAGAACCCACACTCCCTGCCCCCATAGACGCTCGCAACACACTACGCGTCACCAAAATATTACACCTCATTTGAGCATGAACAATCCCGCCAGTTTACACAAACCAAAAAACACCTCTCCACACTCTCACATACAAACCTTAACGAGGTATAACCCCTATAATGACGCACCTCCAAGGCACCCAGGGAGGTTAACACACCCCCATATTAATCTCCACCACGAAGAGCCCAGGTGGAAATGGTCTCAGCTACCCAGTGCAACGATATGACAAACAACGCTGAGTAAAGTTGACACAATGGAACACTTCTAGTTACGGTATAACAACATTGAAAGCAATTTCCACTGTTATGTTTGCAATAATGCTATGATGTATATTCTATGTTGTAACAATGTCAGAAGGCCTGCAAGCCTAAAATAATTGCTTATACTCTTACAATAAAAAAAAACCACAAAAAAAACCCCACTGATTAACCAAAAAAAAAATAAAAAAAAAATATCTCAGCTTAGTAGACATCAGACTAATACATGCATACATTTTTGTACTCATTTTGGGTCTATCTTCATAAAAACTAGAGCTTTTGCAAGCCCACTCCTTTTTCCCCAGGAGAGACTTTCAGTCTCTTCACAAGGAAATAACTAGGAGCTTCTCATACATGTGCGTCTGCTTGTGTGTGTACATGCGCACATTGCACAGCGCTCCGTAACAACACTGGTCTGATTTGAGAAGGAGATATGCATAGGGGAGGCAGACACGCTTAAGTAGCACACCTGCCACTTCCATTGATATCCAATAATAAAAGTGCAGATTTCTCATAGAAATTGGCACCTTTATAGAGTTCAATTTAAAAATAAATAAATTGGAGATTAGTGGACTGCAGTTTTAGTGCCTCACACATTAGTACAAAGATCAAACCATAATACTGACCAACTAGTGCAAGAGTGTCTGCAAGCATATAAGCAAACCCCAAAAAAGACCACAAGACAGGTTTATACAAAATAGACCAGCAAAACTTCCAATCACAAGTTTTGAATGTACTTAAGTGGGAGTTATGTACAAACGTGTGCTGTTCTGAAAAGTGGTGCAAACATGGAAAAAGGGACAGAGTCATCAATGCAATGTGCCTACTAGTTTCACCTGTTTCCTAGTTAAGATGAAAACAACAGAGTGGAAACAAACAAAATAGCTGGGTGAAATAATTGTAACAAACATACATGTCAAATAGTAAGGATGAAAACAGAATGGAAAAAAAGAAAGGAGCGGGACTAGCAGAGAGAAGCTGGAAGGTCCAAAAAGATGCAAGGAGAGAACGAAGGGAGATGTGTTACGCACGAGAGAATATAAAACTAGATTTCTGACTAGAGTGGTAAGCATCTTTACCCCAGCTTTGTGGAGCACTTCTGCTGAAAAAAAATTTTTTTTTTACTGAGGCCTTGATTATTTTTTTGATTAAACATTAAAAATACTGTAACATATTGAAAAGAATAACTTTAAAGGTTTATTCAAAAATATTACATAAATTGATTAGCTTATCCAAAATTATTAAAATTAAACCAGAGTGAGAAAGAGGTCACTTCAACAAAATCACAGTAGAGTTCAGACACCAATGTTAGAGTCAACCTGCAATTATTAAACACGATGGGGAAGATTTTGGCCACAAATAGTTCAGACAATTAACAGATGCTAAAGGGACAGATTCACCAATGCAATGTGCCTACTGGTTTCACCTGTTTCAATGTCAACAGCCCCGCTTTAGTTTAGAGCACTTTAGAGAACACTGTACCCAGTGTGTGGGTCACAAATGACACTGACTGAAGGCAATCCTTCATCCTACCCATTACAGGACATTGCTATAAACACACAAGGCAGCTGACACTCACCTTTTCGAGGTGCTCATATCCATTGGTTCATCCCCTGTCTGTACTTCCACTTTGATGGTAGCTTTCACTTCCCCACCCTTTAGTAGTCCCGGTACTTTTGCTACTGCAGTTTCTGATTTCATAAGGAGTTCACCATCTTTTATTTCCAAAAGTCCTTTTTCAAGTTTGATCTTTTTATTGTCTACATCATTCTGTGTCCCCTCTCGCTCCAGTGCCCGTTTCTGACTCCGTGTCCGACATGCTTCGTCTGTCATTGTGGTGGTAAGCTACGAGACAGAATATTTTATCAAACAGTGGATGTACATTGTCACTAATTTAAATGTTTGAAAATCGTTCCATGGCTATTTACCTAAACTAAACTGTACACACAGTAAAAACACATTTCATACACAACACTAGAGTTTACTTGTAATATTAAAAATAAAAAAATTGTCACCTACTGGAAAATAAGTCAGAACACAAACTTAAAATAGCAGTCTGAAAATCTAGACAGAATATCAGCAACATGAGCCCCATCAAGCATAAAGAAGGCCAGAAATCGGAAAGACAAAGAAGTAAGGGGAAAACAAAAAACATCTCTAACTCCCCCCTTTAAAAACTGTTTAACAGGAAGTACTATAAAGAAACACCAGTGGAGTGACTGAAATTAAGCTCAAAAGAGGTGGTACAGGATACATGGCAAGGAAAAAGTAGAAGAAAAATGTATACAAGTAATCAAGCCTCTGTTAAATACTTGGAGGGCAAACAATAAGTTGTGTGTCTAAAGGGGGGGGGGGGAGGAGAGAAATTTAAAAAATAAAATATCAAATATTTTATTACACTAAAGATGAAAACAAGATGGGTGTGTTTATGACTGTCGAATGTGTCAGTATATACTAAAAAGCATAAATACCATTAATTATATGACAACCCCAGCAACACAAATGTATGCATTGGTGTTATAACCACTAAATCTTTTGGTACAACTTCTAATGTAATGGGAAGGGGGTAGAGTCTTCGCTACGCCCCAGGTGGGATTGCGTCCTAACATCATAAGTCCCCACGTGACCTTACTCTTAAAATTTTCCCAGGATGCTGTTGGAGACACAAAAGCACTTTCTGGAAAACCAGCCTGAACTGGTTCCAAACAACAAGCTGCGAGTGGCGTTAACCCCTTCCAGTGACACTGACACCGCCTGATCCTGCAATCACTACAATCCTATCCCCCCCCACCTCCCTCCCCAGGGCTAGCCTGCTGCTTTTGGCATTCCTGTACGGAGTCCACGAGCACATCACTCTTAAAGGGACAGCAGGAGTGCTCCATCAAAAGATGTGCTGGTAAAACACTTTGTGACAGTCACAGCAGCCATAGGATGATAAAATCCTAGACAGTTTCATAGATTAAGTATTTTGAACAAGATTGTTTATGAAGCATGTACTACAACATCTTGCATTCACTTGTGTAATGGAAACATTTGTACAAAATGACCCACTTTACTCATTGGCATCCCTGACAGAAAATAACCCTTTCAAGGCTTACAAACTATGCAAATATACTGCACTGTATGGTAACACATGATGAAGAGCAGGTTTAAAGGATCACCAAAAATAAGTTTCCTGAAAGAAAAAAAAAAAAAAAAAAACACACATCTACCAAGAATATGCTCTGATGCGTTTTCTTAATTCTGATTCCATAGATGCAAACATTTCAAACCCCAGCTGATAGCAGGATTAGCCATTGTTCAGATGGCTTATCTAGCAGTTAAAGTCTGGGAGCCTTCACTGGGAAGGCTAAATGCGGTCATAATAAATCATGACCCAAAACGTTGCTACCAATAGCCATTGCTAAGCACCCTCAACAAGGGTGAAAGAACATCAAGTCTGTCCAGTTTGGATTCATCTTCAAGAAGAGGATGTAAACCGTATTGTCACAAACAGAGATTTATCAGTAATGTTGTACAAAAGTTGTAAATTTGGGTCATCACTATGTAAAAGGCACGTACATCCCACTGTTAAGGACTTCACTTTTACAATCCTAAATCAACACTTTAAAATTTTCCCCTTTGTGCTGTTCAAGTTTCATTAAAGACATTGATGTCTGTTAAGGCCATTATCTGTTCTTTAAGTATTCTCGAAAAAATCTAATGACTTACTGAATTAATGACTACAGGATTACTACTATGTAATCTTAACATGAGGTGATTTGCAAAACGATGACTGTAAATATGCATATTTATGCAAATAAGGTATTTAACCCCTAAATAACAACAGATGTATACTGTGCATGGTTTGTCTAAAGCATTATCATAATAAATAAAACAAATAAAAAGTCTTGGTGAGACTGCTTTTTCTGCATACCTCACTAGTGAGATCAGGACCCTAATGTGCATGCACAGCAATATTCCTCACAAATAGCAATGCTTTAATTTGTTAGACAGTAGGGACAGGGTCTATGCACCAAAATTACTACATTAAGATGCAATGGTTTTGGTGCTTAAAGGACCACTATAGTGCCAGGAAAACATACTTGTTTTCCTGGCACTATAGTGCCCTGAGGGTGCCCCCACCCTCACGGCCCCCCTCCCGCCGGGCTCTGGGGAGAGGAAAAGGGTTAAACTTACCTTTCCTCCAGCGCCGGGCAGGGAGCTCTCCTCCTCTCCCCCCTTTCGGCTGAATGCGCACGCGCGGCAAGAGCTACGCGCGCATTCAGCCGGTCTCATAGGAAAGCATTCATAATGCTTTCCTATGGATGCTTGCGTGTTCTCACTGTGATTTTCACAGTGAGAATCACGCAAGCGCCTCTAGCGCCTGTCAATGAGACAGCCACTAGAGGATTTGGAGGCTGGATTAACCAACATAAACATAGCAGTTTCTCTGAAACTGCTATGTTTATTAAAAAAAGGGTTAATCCTAGCTGGACCTGGCACCCAGACCACTTCATTAAGTTGAAGTGGTCTGGGTGCCTAGAGTGGTCCTTTAAAGGAACATTACAAGCACCATATCCACTTCAAGGTCATTGTAGTCGTTATGGTGTAGAGGTGCCCTGGCACCCTCATAAATAGTTTAACAACTTACCTGAGGCCCACTGGGCACCAGTCACATCCACCAAGAGAGCTATAAGCTCTCTGCTCCAAGATGGCCCACTAGTGCAGGACATAACCCACTGCCTGAGAGCAATCAGTTGCCACACTCAGCCAATTAAAAGACAGTGAAAAAACATTGTTTAGCTCTGGGAGCCAACTGATGCTGCATGCAAGAGCTTCAGACTCTCCTGGGCGTTTGACCGGCAAATGACAGGCCCCAGGTAAGTTGTGAAAAATTGTGTAAACTGCATTACTCCTTATCCATTATATTGTTCATGTACTTTCAGCGTTCCTTAACAGTGTCCTTTTACATTATTGTGGAACACACTGCAAAAGTGTCAAAAAGGCTTTGGTCTACAATACAAGTTCAGAAAAGCCTGGTCACAGAAGGGTTAAACTGCATTGCTACATAAATGAAGAGTTTACTTCTTCAGTTAATTCCTCCCAATACTACACATTCTAGTAAGGTCTTAAGCTAAACACCCCACTTCCTTCACAGGTGTGAGAAAGATCAAAAGTTAAAAGACCAACAGGTTTACATCAACTTGCGAGTTACCCATTAACCCCTTAAGGACCAAACCTCTGGAATAAAAGGGAATCATGAAATGTCACACATGTCAAGTGTCCTTAAAGGACCACTATAGTGCCAGGAAAACACTTGTTTTCCTGGCACTATAGTGCCCTGAGGGTGCCCCCACCCTCAGGGACCCCCTCCCACCCAGCTCTGGAAAGGGGAAAAGGGGTTAAACTTACCTTTTTCCAGCGCTGGGCGGGGAACTCTCCTCCTCCGTTCCTCCTACTGGGCTGAATGCGCACGCGCGGCAAAAGCTGCGCACGCATTCAGCCGGCCACATAGGAAAGCATTCATAATGCTTTCCTATGGACGCTTGCGTGCTCTCACTGTGAAAATAACAGTGAGAAGCACGCAAGCACCTCTAGTGGCTGTCAATGAGACAGCCACTAGAGGATTAGGGGGAAGGCTTAACCCATTCATAAACATAGCAGTTTCTCTGAAACTGCTATGTTTATGAAAAAAATGGGTTAACCCTAGCTGGACCTGGCACCCAGACCACTTCATTAAGCTGAAGTGGTCTGGGTGCCTAGAGTGGTCCTTTAAGGGGTTACGGACAACCAGTACAAATTGTGTGTAGGTTAAATAAATAGTCCATCCAAAACACCTAGGTTGTTAAGCAAGCACAACTTATTGGGCTTTTGTGAATAAATCCTCTGGTGCCTGAAATGTTAGACAAATGAGAAATGGATATCTTATAATAAAAAAATAAAGAAATTAAAAAAAAAATACTAATGTGGGGTGCTTGTTTGAGTGAATGAGACACCAATTACAGAGACAAACAATTTTAAAAAGGACACACCCTATTAAAAAAAATAAAATGTGGAAAACAAAAGCCTTGTAATTTGACTGACATGTAAACACGCAAATACAAAATAAAGAAAAATAAAATAATTATTCTCCCATGATACTTTTGAGGTGTTAATTAAGTACCCTTTATTGGATATATGCTGTCCATGCCCCACCATCAAATAATTTGTATGTTCTTCGTTCAATCTACAACCAGTTATGAGAATTTTAAGACCACCAGGGGGTCTTGGATACACACAACTATAGCACCCCTGCATGAAATTCCCACTTCTGCAGATGCATCAGGATTTATATCCAATGGTTATGAACGTTAACACGTAGGTTCAATAATTATACACGAAATCTGTCATATCTCTGTAAAAGTGCCCATTTAATTCATACATGTTTGTGGAAATGCCCAAAACGTTTGATAAAGGGGTTGCAGAGCTGATGGCTGTGTAGTTAAACACATTCCCACATAATTGTGCACAATTATTCCACTGAAGGGGTCAACCATCTACCAGATTTCGTATAGTTTTCAATACAGATGCATCCCAATTTAGGCTACAAAAAGTTGTTACTTTACACACTTTCAATACTCTGTACATCTGCAGCTATATCTCCACGCACAAAAACGTAAATGAGGTCAAGTCCAAATACACAAGAGAGAAAAAAAGTAAATAATTATGATAAGTCTAAATGTAATACTTATTAGTATTGAATCAGTACAACATACATGGCATTAAAAATGACAATGACAAACCACATGACGCAAACTATTTAAAAACCTTTTATTACAATAAATGACTATCCGGCTACCTTAGTGCTTTGTGGACCCCTCCCCCACAACTTGGACTCTTCCAGTTTGCAGGGAACACAAAAGGCAAAGGGTGAGTCCAGAGGTGAACTGGGGGAGGAAAGGGTACAGACAGAAATGCTAATTCACAGCTTTTCAGATCAGAAAAACCAATATAAAGCTACACACTTAATATAGGTATATAACATGCTATGCTTTAACATGCATTTATCATCACCTTGGATATTTTCACTGACTCAACTTTTATTTACATTTTTTTGTTTAATTTTCTTGATGTTAAGCAATTAATCTTTTCACGTCATAACTTTAAAAAAAAAAAAAAATAGATTGAAAGGCTACATTGAACTGGGTATTCTTGCAAAAACTGAAGTTAAAAAAAAAAAAAAAAAAGGCTATTAAAACCCACGCTGGAAGTGAGGAATTTGCAGCGTGTAGCCAGCAGCGGGAGCAATGTAAGGAGGAAGGACACTAACACACACTAGCTCCTGAGGATCGAACAGTCTACAAGATCTCTGCCAGAGCACGAGGGGTTAAGCTCTGCCATTTTGGTGTCATTCACTGATATGTCCATTAAGGGTGTTATAGAGCAAAATGGCAGTCATTAACTCTTCCCTACAGCAGCCAGGAAAATGTGCATCTATTGTCTGCTGTAAAAGTTACTGAAATGCAATAAATTGTGACCATTTTTCCAGGAAACATTAAGTAGAAGGAAGATTAATTATAGATTCATTTAAAATAACTTGGAAAGCAAATGTCCAAACTATTTACAATTTGAGCTGAGTGCAGCAGTAAAGGGGTTAAGCAGTCTTGAACTTTGTTTTAGGTCTCAAATAAAGAGGGGGGGGAGCGGGGAGAAGAGAGAGAGACTGACAGTACAGGAATGTGCGCCCAAAGTAGCCTAGCCTTACAGATTACAAGTGCACCACAACATATACCTCCTTCACCTCTTAACAGACACTACAACTTGACTGTAATCAGGGATTTACAAGCAGACTAACCTGTGATAGATATTTTTATTTCAAGTTCTATACTACTAGCAAGCCATTAAAAAATAAAAGTTTCTCGCCCTACAAACCTGGGGTCTCCAGGAGTGAATTTTTCCTTGCCAAGGCTTCATTTTCACTGAGCCCTGACATAATATATTTGTATATTGGCAAAATTATTTTCAATTATATAGCAGATACGGACTACATGCACGGATTTAAAAATGTATACTTTCTACCCTTTCCTGCATTCGATAAGAAATTGCAAACTGCATGAATAAACCCTGTCATTTACGCTTGCACTCTGTTAATGTGTTCTGCTGTACAATTAGGATTAAATACTTTTTTCTAACCTGGTTAAAACCATATAAAATATAAAACCATAAAAAAAAAAATATAGTGGGCTTACACTAGGTAAGGAGAATAAAAACCATGTACAAGAGGTATGCATATATAGCAAGGCTCTATTAGATGTAGAACATATACATACGCAGAAATGGATACCATGCATGTTCTCTAGTAAGAGTACTGCATTGATCCAATAGACGTCAAAAGAATAGTATCAAGTCATTTAAAAAAAATAAATAAATTTTAAGACTAAGAAAAGGACACTCCAGATGCCTAAAGTACTTATGCTTGCTTTATGTGAGAAGAGCATGTCCTTTTTCATTCTACAAAAAGTGCATACTTCAATAGAAATTTTCATAAATCTTGTTACAACCCATGGCTGTCCAACAACTGGTCCTGTTACTCCCTGGTTTGGCTTGCTCAGTGGAGCTAAACTCAACAGGCAGGCTCAGAGCAGCTGCTTTGCAATAACTCCTAATTGAGCTGCATTGGGAGGTCTGTGATTGGACAGCCACAAAGTCTGCAGATATACTTAAAACGAGCACTATAGTGCCAGGAAAACAAACTCGTTTTCCTGGCACTATAGGGTCATTAAGCCCCCCCCACCCTCAGAGCTGAATGGGTTAAAACCACTTCAATCACTTACCTTTCTCCAGCGCAGGGCTCTTTGTGCTGGGGAACTCTCCGCCCCCTGCCGACGTCAGATGCGAATGCGCGGCAAGAGCCACGAGCGCAAACAGCCCATATGAAAGCATTACGCAATGCTTTCCTATGGACGTCCAGCACCCAGTGCCTCTAGCGGCTGTCAGTGAGACAGCCACTAGAGGCTGGATTAACCCTCAGTGAAACATAGTTTCTCTGAAACTGCTATGTTTTCAGCTGCAGGATTAAAACTAGAGGGACCTGCCACCCAGACCACTTCATTGAGCTGAAGTGGTCTGGGTGCCTATAGTGGTCATTTAACCGTTGGTTGGTTGTTTGTTGTTTTTTTTGGTTGGGCAGTGGAGTGTACCTTGACGTCTAAAAGCATGATAATTTACTGTTTATCATATTGAGCAGCCATAATTTTATATGACCAAATAAACACATTTAATATTGCATGCAAGATGTTCACTGTGCTTAACACAACTCAATCACCTTGCATAAAATCACAGCATTAATATTAGCCCTTTTCACAACTGAAGCGGTGTACCGAAAACAGACTTCAGTAACCACAGGGCTTGAATAGAATAGTACCTTTTGCATATATTAATACACTGTGCTCCACATGAGCACATTATTCATAGACAGAAAAAAAAATACAAAATTTGGGAGTTCAATTAAATAATAGATGTAACTTAGGACAACATGCATCCAAGGTGGATAACAACCACAACTTGCTAGGTGCAGCTAAGCCCTAGAGAAGGTTTGAGCTATACAATGTCAGTTGAAGTGAACTTACACTGATCAGTCACAACATTAAAACCACCGACGGGTGAAGTAAATAATATTATATCATTACAAATGCCACCTGTCAAGGAGTGGGATATATTAGACAGCAAGTGAACAGTCCGTTCTTGAATTTCAAGTGTTGGAAGCAGGAAAAATGGGCAAGCAAAAAGATCTGAGTGACTTTGACAAGGGCCAAACAATCTAGACGACTGTCAGACCATCTCCAAAATGGCAAATCTTGCGGGGTGTTCCTGGTATGCAGTGGTTAGTACCTACCAAAAGCAGTGCAAGGAAGGACAACTGGTGAACTGGCGTCAGGGTCCTGGGCACTCATTAATGCACATGGGGAGCAAGGGCTAGCCTCTCTGATCACATAGACCATCTACTGTAGCTCAGATTACTGAACAACAATGCTGGCCATGATAGAAAGGTTACAGAACACAGTGTATTGCAGTTTTCTGCACATGGGGCAGTGTAGCGGCAGACTGATCAAGAGTGCCCATGATAATTCTTGTCCAGTGCCTTCAATAGCGATGTGAGTGTCGGAACTGGACCATGGAGCAATGGAAGAACATGGCGGGCCTGAATCAATCACGTTTTCCTTTAGATCAAGTAGATGGCAGGATGCATGTGTGTCGTTTACCTGGTAAAGAGATGGCAGCAGGATACACTATGGGAAGAAGGCAGTCAAGTGGAGGCAGTGTTATGCTCTGGGCAACGTTCTGCTGGGAAAATTAGGGTCCTGGCATTGTGGATGTTACTTTGACTCAATCTACCTAGAGATAGTTGCAGACCACTTAAACCCCTTCATGACATTTGTGTTTCTTGATGACAGTAGCCTCTTTCATTAGTATAATGCATCCTGCAAAATTGTTCAGGAATGGTTTGAAGAATATGACAGAGTTCAAGTTGTTGACTTGGCATCCAAATTCCCCAGATCTCAATCCGATTGAGCATCTATGGGATGTGCTGAAACAACAAATCTGATCCATGGAGGCCCCACCACACAAATTTCAGGACTGCTAGAATCTGCTGACAATCAAGGACTTCATGCCATATAACACAGGACACGTTCAGAGGTCTTGTTGAGTGCATAGCTCGAAGCATCAGAGCAGTTTTTGCAACACGAGGGAGACCTACCTACACAATATTGGGCCGGTAATTTTCATGTTGTTATAAACTGTCCTCCTACCCTGGACAGTGGACTTTACCATGCATCTAGTATCACCACAGTTGCTAAAACATGTGATTCACTTAACCAGACCCTTATCAAGACATCATGAAAAGCAATTCTTAGATCAAGGGTTGTGTTGTTCCATCTATTTTAATATGACCACATTAAGTGACAATTTTATATAAAATTATATATACACACACACAAATATAAGTTCATTGCCTAGTGCAGGCTTCCCCAAACTCCTGCACTCCAGATGTTGCTGAAATACAACTCCCATGATTCTATGAATGAAATAGATAGGCTGATAATCATGGGAGTTGTAGTTCAGCAACATCTGGAGAGCTGGAGTTTGGGGAAACCTGGTCTAGTGCAATGAAATGGGAAGTGAAAATAGTGCTCAGCCCCATTTTTTTAATATAAACCCAGTAGGAGAGAGATTACCATGGCCTGAAAGGGGGGGGGAGGAGGGGGGAAATATGAAAATAATTTTTAATTAAAGGACCACTATAGGCACCCAGACCATTTCAGCATAATGAAGTGGTCTGGGTGCCAGGTCCAGCTAGGTTTAACCCTTTTTTCTATAAAAATAGCAGTTTCAGAGAAACTGCTATGTTTATAATAGGGTTAATCCAGCCTCTAGTGGCTGTCTCATTGACAGCCGCTAGAGGTGCTTCTGCGCTTCTCACTGATTTTCACAGTGAGAAGATGCCAGCGTCCACAGGAAAGCATTGAGAATGCTTTCCTATGGACTGGCTGAATGCGCGTGCGGCTCCTGCCGCGCATGCAGCCGAGGAGGAGGAGAGTCCCCCACCCGGCGCTGGAGAAAGAGGTAAGTTTAACCCCTTCCACCCCCTAGAGCCCGGTGGGAGGGGCACCCTCAGGGCACTATGGTGCCAGAAAAAAAAAAAAGTGTATGTTTTCCTGGCACTATAGTGGTCCTTTAAAAACAAAATTATATATTCATGAACTTGCCCTCCCACCCCCACAGACATCACAATAACCGCACACTTTGTTTTACAATTTCTAAATATTAACTGAAAACCTAGAAAGATTGGACATTTGAATAATCAGGACTAATTAGTGAATCTATTTTGAGTAAGTTTTCTTTAGTGTCACTTATAAATTATAACATTTAGAATTGGGATGGGGAGAAGAAAAAAAAAAGTGTGTGTGTGTACACAAAAATATAAAAGTATGTACATTTTCAGTTTTCCAGAATGAGACCACCACATTAAAGGACAAACCATTGCTTATAAATTGACTGCGAACCATTGCTATAAATGGACTACTCTGCCCACCATAATTGGATTAATAAAAATCACTTTAGACAACTAAAAATAAATTAAAATATAAAAAAACTTCTAAAATTAAAACTATTTTACAAATAAAACTGCTTACCTTTTATACCTGCTATACTGCTTCTCCCCCACTCCCTTGACATGACAGGTGAGCTTACACTTAACTGGCCACTGTAGTAATACTTGAAAACCTCCAGTTACTTCAATGCGCTGCCTACAGTTCACAAGGAAACAAGCTGCACTGTCTCTAACTTTTACTTTAAAAACCTCACAAAGTGCACTAAAAATAGTACAAGTGTTAATCCAAAATATTAAGAAATCTCATCCTTAAATCCACGTGGGCAACAAAGGAGTACCTAGTGTGCATCAGCTTTTCTTACAGAAAGTAAAACAAAAACTAAAAACCAAAAGAATGAGGGGAGGAAAAAAAAAAAAATCTGGCTTCCACATAAGGACCCAGTAGTCCCTGGTTGCAACACTTTCTAGGTATATAGAGAAGCCTGCCACATCAATCCATATTTTCAGTAACCAGGTTCTGGTGAAACAAAGTACTACATATGAAAAAAATTGGAAATGAGAATCTCAATAAAAAAATAAAAAATAAAATTGTATCACTTCTGGCATTCGGGCTCTGATGTTTATAAGCCAGACACTGACATCTAAATCATGCATGAGGTACAACCCAGTAGGTGCCGACACTACGGGAGCTATGCGTGATGGGTTTAAAACGGCCTCTCCTTAAATAAAGGAGCATTTCCAACAAAAATAGATTTCACAATGAAAGTGGGCACAAGGACACTTTGTGCATATCCATTAATTTATCTGTGGAAGGGAGATTGCTAGTGCATGATGCAAGTCTATCTTATTCATTTGTTGCACAGATGGACACGGACACAGACCCTTTAAGACCAGCTCAGGTTACCCGTCTGGTTCTATCGCCTACCCAGGAGAAAAGGGTGGCGGGGGATGGGAGTCGACACATGTCTTAGAGGTCTAACCTCAGGACAGTTGCCATGTGATTTGCTTCTCCATCTTTTTTTTTTTTTTTTTGAGGTTTCCCATTGATCAGTAGAGTTCTAGAACATTTGTTTTGAGGTTGGTCTCCCTGTTGCATAAGATTAGCAAGCAGCTCTATAACGAACCTAGTTACAGTTGTGAAAAACAAGTGACATTCACCTATAAATTCAGCTAGACACAAGAGTGTATAAAATCTCTGGCTGAGACTTAATATTCAGTATACAGAATTGAGGCCAGCAGTGCATACCCATCATACAACACAACGGTCAGATATGGAGTTTACCCCTTCTCTGTGGACTATTTATTATCTTTCCTAGAAGGGACTCATGATATAAGAGTATATCTTTCTCCAGTTTGCATGTTACTAAAGTATTCTTGCAGTGCGGCTTCTATATTCTGTTTCAACACTATTAACTTAATTTTAAGCAATAGAGGTAGATTTAAACATGGCACACCCAATTGTAATGGGGTGAGAGGAGGAGCAATATAAAAAAAAATGTAATATATATCATATCTATTTGTTAAACTAATTTGCATATGCCCACCCAGTAGTAACATCATTGTAAATTTGTTATTTCTGAGGGAAAGATTTTTGTTTAACATATTTAAATTTATTATTTCATAATTATCAATTTTTTTTTAAATTTTTTTTTTTTTTTTAAATTTTAGGTTTCTTTTGCCTCCCCCCACCCCTTTTTCCCCCTTTGTATACACCACATACACGTTTTCTCACGTTAGGTCACAGGACCACGTCACCACTGCACAGGAATAAAATCACACAGATGGGGTAAGTTATTATATATGTACACTGTCATTAACTTGTTAAATACCCTGGAGGGTCGAAACGATGTATGGATGATTATTTTTTTAATACACTTGGAAAACCGAGACAGTGTGTGTGTATATATGTATGTATATATAAATTTAAATAAAATGACAAAAAGTACCGGGACTCCAAGGATTTTCAAGATATAATCTTTATTCTGAGAAATACATCATCCCGATGATGATGTATTTTTCAGAATAAAGAAGATTATAACTTGAAAATCCTTTGAGTGCCGGTACTTTTTGTCATTTTATACTATGGAGCTACCAGAGCACCGGGTCATTTTTTGATTTTTGTTAGGTGGGAGTGCAGGAGATGTATACATACACACACATAGATAGAGAGATATATATATATATATATATATATATATATATATATATATATATATATATATATATATATATATATATATATATATATATATATATATATCTCTTGACTGGTGTGCAGATTTTTTAGAAATCTTCAGTCATCTAGTTTTGGTGATCACAAACTCCATCTCTTCTATAGCTTCATCCATTCTACATCATCATGTGCTTTCAGATATGGCATTCTGCATACTTGTCTTGTATAGAGTTTTGTAAAGAGGCGTTATTTTACCATTTGAGACAGCTATGGCTTTTCTCCTCTGAGTTTTTGGCCACAGAACAGCTTGTTGGATGACTTATGTCACCATTCTCTGTAAACTCCAAAACTAAGACAACACGTTCATAAACTAAACCTCCTTACCACATCTGTATGCTTCATACAGTGAGAAATCACATGACTGTCTGGCAATTTTTTTGTTATGAAGCCAAACTGGTGTGGCTCTTCCCTCCTCCTGTCAACATTACTTTCTTTTTGAATGTACCAAGCACGCACAGTCTTCCTATAAAATAAAATGGGCTGGTTTGTATGGGTTTATCATTGCTGTTTGGATCAAATGAAGGTACTAGAGAGGTGCCGTAAGATTACAGGTCTCATAGATGATTAAATAATCATTTTAGGCACCCAGACCACTTCATCTCATTGAAGTGGTCTGGGAGCAGTGTCCCTGTCGCCGTTAGCCCTGCACTGTAAAACTCTGCAGTTTCAGAGAAACTGCAATGTTTACATTGCAGGGCTAAGACTGCCTTTGGTGCTTCCTGCTGTTTCACATAATTCAACCCATTCCCTGAGGACATCCTGCCTCTTGCAAAACACCACAGGAAAGCAATGATTCAATGTTTACCTATGGGGAAGGCCTAATGCGCGTGCGGCACTCACGACACATGCGCATTAGGTTCCCCCTCAGCACAGACATCTGAGGCGGCGGAGTGGAAAGAAAAAAAAAGGTTAGTTTAACCCTTTCAGTAGTGCCACGGCAGCACAGAAACACTTTAGTGTTAGGAATACAGCTTTGTATTCCAAACACTATAGTGTTTCTTTAAGGATATTCACTTTTGAAGCAATCATGGGCCCTTCTTATTGTTCTTGGTGGGAGCAGTAAACATATCTCACAAATTACTGTCTTCCATGCAATTGTGGTGTATGCGTTTAAATTTGCAGAGGTTTCATTCATGAAGTCTTATGAATTAACTGAATGCTCAAGTTAATATTACCAGTATAGCCAATTCTACATATACATATTTTTCATGAATGGAACGAGTTACAGTTGCATCACAGGAGCATCAAAAAGTATTGAGGAAGCCTGTAACAATAATACAGAGTATTTGCATTAGGAGAAATAGATGATGTTCACTAAAGTGTGGAATGTTAAGAATTCAAAGAAAATTAAGAATTTTAAGCCAAAACAGCAGATTTGATGTCAATTCAGCCCAATATTTGAAATGTTCAATAAATCACTTTAGCAAATAAACCTAACTTGGGAAACCAACACTTCACTGAGGTGTTATTTAGTATATTCTACATACAAATATACTCTTCTACTTTTCAAAGCCGTATTGCAATGGTTTGCTGGTCTTTTCCTTGCTAGCTGATGTTGTGAGAAGGTTTTGTTCAGATGAGAATATATTTAAAGACCCTGTCTTTTTAGATCATAAATAGTGTCACCCATTATAACTGTATGGCCTGAGGCACGTCTACTTTATACTATATTGAGTTCAGTGGACAAGGCATGCAAATATAGAATTATATTGTACATGGACTGGCTAGTGAAACCCTCCCGGCATTGCGCGGTAATGGTGCTCACTCAAACTTGGGGTTTAAAAAAAAAATTATATATATATATATTTATTAATTAATGTTGGATACTAAAAATTGAGGTATATAAAACTGTATTCCTTAAATTCTTTCCTGACATTTCAAAAATAAAACAATTAAAATGTCAAAGACCTCCAGTGTTTGTAAACACCCCCATAGAAAAGCACTTATTCAATTCTTTCCAAAGCAGCTATTCCAAAAGGGTCAAATTAAATACTGAACCCTTCAAAAAAGAAACACTAAGAACCCTTAAAAGAAGTTATGAAAATGACCCAAAATATGCAAATACCACCCACAACTTGTCATGGTTTCTAATATTGATAGATTAAAGGGCATCTAAAGTCACCCAGAACACTTCATTTTAACGAAGTGGTCTGAGTGCAGTGGTCTCTGCCTTCAAGGTAAAACACTGGCATTTTGCAGAAAGGGCAATGTTTACCTTAAAGGTAAATACGCCTCTAAATGACAGTACAAAACGTGGCACCTTATTGTAAAGAATTGGATATGATAAGTAACACTGGATGCACCTGGCACCCACCTCACATGAACATCAGGTGCACAATACTGCTTATAGATTGGATTTATGCCAGAGGAAGACAAGCATCCTCGATGACATTGCAGAAGTAAAGTAGTAAAGAGGTGTGGTGCTTAAAATTATAATTGTGAAAAAAAAAAAAAAAAAAAGGATCACTTGCATATATAAGTAGGGACATTTTCCTAACGCTATACCGTTCCGTTAAAGATACTAAATATATATTTAACCCCTTAAGGACACCACTTCTGAAATAAAAAGGAATCATGAGAGAATATTTCCGTAATGTGTCCTTAAGGGGTAAACCAGAAAAAAAAAAGAAAAACACAACACAAACATACTAACACTTGTGAGTTGTGTGGCTTTCAACAAGCACATTTTTTAACCTGTACAAGAAGTGTAAGCTTCATGGTACATCACAAGACTGAAAACTGGAAGAAAGTGTAAGATCAATGGGGATGGTTTTGCTACAGTCGTCATCCAAATTAGTTTAGTCTAGATTTTTCTCTTGCAGCTCTAGAAATAACAAATGCAATACAGATTCATGCTCCAGGCTTTAGGCATTTTCACAGCCAGGATGCTGCATTGTTAAAAGTGCAGACCAATGCGATTTAGCTCTATGACAAACACATTTCAAGAAAATACAAAGAGTCTATACCTACAGTCCCATGCATGCTAACAGGGAGGGGAAGGGGAGACACAGTTTAGATCTGGAGTATGATATTGACCCACTGCCCCCAACTTTAATGGATTCACAAACCCGGCAATCAATTAAAAAAATTTCTTAGGAAAGGCCAAGTTTTGGGAGTTGTAGTTATACAAGAATCAGGAAGCTATGGCTGATACCACTGACTTTTACACTCAAAAATAAATAAAATAAAAAAAAAAAAAATTAAAAAAAAAAAAAAAAACTCCTTAAAGCTCCACATAAATAAAAACACCTCTACAGCTATTTAAATGTATTTTTTTTGTTTGTTTTTTTTTTTTTTAAACGATACTTCTGTCCAATGTTCACATAGCACAAAAATATTTAAAGAGTGTTTTAAAAAATTTATTTTGATGGGACAGTTACCAGACCTTCATGTACTGATTTAACAGAAAAGGTAAGGGGGAAAGCACTATAGTTACCGGTTGCTGCTAAGATGACAACTTAACGTGTGTGTGTGTAATATTTATTTATATATATATATATATATATATATATATATACACACACACACACATATATATACATATATATATATATATATATATATATATATATATATATATATATATATATATATATATATATATATATATATATATATATACACATATATACATATATACATACATATATACATACATATATATATACATATACATACACATACACATATATATATACACACACACACACACACACACACACACACACACGGCTCGCCAAATACAAGACCCAGGTCACCTGGGTCATGCCAGTCCATTCTGTGGAGGCAGGCCAGCACCCAGCTTTAAGTAATGGAGCCGGGCGGCGAGGAAGCTGTAATCTTGTTCTGCTCTCTCACACACCCTTCAGTGATGCCAAGATCCGGAATATGAAGTTACTCTAGCCTGCATCATTAAACAGCATCAAGCGTTAAGAGCTTAATGACAGCAGCCCCACTAGACCCCAGGTGAAGCCGATCCACTCCAGCTTTCCTAAGCGTAGGAAGGCTGGGTGGAATTAAATTTAAATAAACCAAATAACTTGACAGAATGTGTGTCTGCCAGTGAGTGTGTGTGTTTAGGTAACCAGCCCCCCCTCCAATCACATGAGAATGGTGTTTTCACTAACCTTTTTTTCCCTTCCCGTGCTAGTCTTGGTGTGGTTGGCCCCACTTCCATGGCAGAGGTGCTCAAGCTTGATAATCTTAGCCAATCCAATGCTTTCCCATAGGAAAGTATTGGGAGGCTATAGCACATGAGCAGCAAACCACACCGCCAATCAGCATCTCCACATATAGATACATTGAAAGGCCTGCAGGGACAGTCTACAGACACCAGAACCGCTAGTGGTTCTAGTGACTATAGTGTCCCTATAAGAATTGTATTTTGTATTTTTGTCGTTAAAAATTTAGCTTTGTTTACATAAAATGATATAGATATATATTACATTGCTAAACACAAATACACACACCTGGCAAGCCATAAGACTGGCTTTTACCACAGAAATCTCACTTTAACAGTGATCTCACTACTGCAATGGATTCTAGGTAGGCGTATGCAAATGAGCTCAACACAGAACCACGTTTTTCCTCATAATTTCACTTCATACATGGATTCCTTGGAGTATGTGTCTGCTGCATAGAACAGCTTTGAAACATAACTCAGGAAGAGGTGAAATGCTAGTGAACCACTCCTGGACAGCTGTTTCGTTGTTATTTCAACTCATCAGCATGAGATAGGTTCTTAGGACACGAAAAGTGTGTTATACGACGCTGGACGTCCTCACGCTATGTGAGGACCTCCAACGTCTCCAAAATCCCCATAGGAAAGCATTGAATAATCCTTTCCTATGGGGAGGTCTAATGCACGTGCGTGGCCATTTCCGCACATGTGCATTAGGTCGCGCCCACTGGGGGAGGAAAGTAGGCGGAGCCTGACTCTGCGCCGAGGGACATAGTCGCTGGACTCAGGTAAGTCACTGAAGAGGTTTTAACCCCTTCAGCAACTTGGAATGGGGGGTGGGAGGGAGAGGGGCACTACAGGGTCCTGCAGTGTCAGGAAAACACTGGAAAATCCCTTTAAGTACATACCATATAAGTTGTGGTGGGGGAAAAGTGTGGATGAAAACCCCTTCAAAGCCATATGACTGAAATTTCTCTGGTAAAAGCAAGTCTTATGGCTTGCCTGCTGTGTGCATTTGTGTTTAACATTTCTTTAACTATCCATTTATTTCAGGTGGAAGGGGTTTTCATCCACCATAGATATGATATATAGATATATCTGCTAACTTTTAGCTGGCTCCTAGACTCCATGCAAATTTGTAAATCCCTGTAATAATATACTTTGCTGCCCCCTCCCCCCCTCCAAAAATATAATTTATTCATTACAATATACTGCAGCTTTTCCCCATAGGATAACCACTACAGACTGCTGGTAGAGAGTACATGTGCCAAACAAGCAAAACTTTACTAGTATCTCCCTTCTAGTATGCTGAAGCAGAGCACAGCACTTCAGACTGTGCCAATGAACAAGTCACACAGTTCAGGATCAAGGGATTAAATCAAGAACATACATCTTGCTGCCATTGCACACCTTTAAGCCAAACCTCAGCAAATAGTGCTTCCCATGACAGTCCAATTCACAAATCTTAGGTACTGAACCTAAAATACTGAATCAATACACTAGCCTGTAGATGTTGCAAGGGCAATGTAAACCTTTTACAAAAGATTCATAAGATGTAGATGGAGTACAAACGTCTTTCTTTACAAGACAGCAGGAGTAAAAAACAGGACTCCATATGTGTTTATGGGTTAAACTGAATCTCTAAAATACACCCTAGATTTTAATCTCTAGGGTGGAATTAATGTATAAATACACATATTTCAAAAGTTTACATTTTGCCTTGAAATCTTCAGTCTCAACACTTGACAGTGGAACTAAGTACTTCTGTATAAAAGGTGGTGGGGGGGATCTCTCTCGCTCTCTCTCTCTCTCCACTGATTAATTCTTAACCCTTAACAATTTTGAGGTTTTAATATTAAACATCCAGAATGGACAGTCTTCAAACTCAGACGCAGGCTTTAAAAGTTCATGTTGGATAGACTAACCTCAAAGAAATTTGCATTTCATACACTACTGTAATTCAAAGTGTGAACACATTATGGCTCAGAAGGTACAGACCCTTTATCACTAAAACCATAAATGCCAAAACACAATTAAATATGTTGACACAATCTTGAAGATTACAAGAAGAACACACCTCTTATTAGATAAGGTTTCACATGTCATCCCAGCTTCCAGCTACCTCTGGAGTTTAAAGTGAAACCGACACTGACATAGTAACCCTTTCATAGATAGATTTGTTGGAGTAGACTACAAAAGCATTTAACCTGTTGGATGCTGGTGGGATCACAAAGGAAATGCAGATGTTACAGACAGCGTGTATTAGTACACGTTAACCAGCATACCCTGTACACAGAGTGTCCAGGAAGTGACACAGTACAGCCAGACGGACAAGAGTATGTGGGGGATGGGCAAAGAAACAGGGGTGGGGTACAGAAATGACCCAACAACAGCTGGATGGGAGGGGGTGCTGGAGGAAGAGGTTGAGAGATGGGTGGTGCATAGGACTTTGCTTGTCAGTCAAGAAAACTGTAGGTGTAAGGTGGATCTGGTAATAAAAGAGTTAACACCCACCCATCCTAACAACCCAGGCAGGAAGAAAATGGCTTCCTTATTAAACTACTGCAGACAGTCAAAGGTGCCAATTACTCTGAATAGTCATCTACGCAGAGATTACCAAAAAAGAAAAAACAAACACACACACACACACACACACACACACACCTATAGATAAACTACTTCAATGTGCAGAACACCAGAAGGAACTTGGGGACAGGGTTACAAATAAATGATAACTGACTACACAAAACTGTACAATGCGTAACTGATACACAGCAATGAAAACATTGTGACTAAATATGCAATACATGCGTATTGATGACACGGATAAAGAAAGTTACAGAATTGTTCATATTTCAAAATATATATGGTGGAGATTGATTATAACCACGATTACATTACAGACTGATGGGACCCAAGTGCCACCAACTGTGAAATAAATATTTGCCAAGTCCTAGAGCAGATGAAGTGTGCCAGGATTTATCAAAATGCACGGAAGTTCACAAAACATTTATATAAACTCACATTGACTACCACAACAAGAGTCTGGCACTCCCTTCCGCTCCATGGTCCAATCAAAAGCGTTTGATTGGTTAATTTAGTCCGCTCACAGCGCATTAGCACACGAGTAGAGGAAAAAGTAAAAAAAAAAATAAAAAATAAAAAAAAATGATATGTGCTATATACACACACACACACACATATATATACATATACATACATATATATATATACATACATACACATACATATATATATATATACATACATATATATATATATATATACACATACATATATATATATATATACATACATATACATACATACATACATATATATACATACATATACATACATATATATATATATATATATATATATATATATATATATATATATATATATATATATATATACACACACACACACACACACACACACACACACACATACATACATACATACATACATACATACATACACACAATGTATTGAGGCACCATAAGCCTGCAGTTAGCGGGTTGAGCAAGATAAAAGATCATTACATCTGTCGCCAGCGTGCAAATTTTTGCACAGAATTGTCATAAGGCAGTCCAGAACAGAGTTCGGAGGCTGCCAAAGTCACGTACACTGGGGAAGCAACTAGCCCAACACAAAAGTTAAGTTCTCTCTGTATGTGCATCAGTTCAAGCAGAAGTGGTCATGATGGTTGGAGTAACCCTTTAAGGACATCACAATCTTGTCCCTAGAGAACTTAGATCAGTATGGAATGTCCTGCATATTTATCTATAGTGGTTCCATGCAGTCTTTCATCAAATGGGATATTCAAAATTGGGATGAGATCCTTAAAGGGACACTATAGTCACCAGAACTGCAATCAATAGAGTTGTTCTGGTGTCTATAGTATGTAACTGCAGTCATTTTACTTTAAACACAGATTTTTCAGAGAAAAAAAATTAGTATTTATATTACTGCTAAGGGACAGCTCCAGTGGCAGTCACTTGGACTGCCACCAGAGACGCTTCCTGTGTCAGTGCTGCACAACGTGCACAGACGTTTAGCATCTCCACACTTTGCACCAATGCATCTCTATGAGGAGATGCGGATTGGCGCAGCAGTGTTTTGCTGTGCCTGCGAACTAGCCTCCAATGCTTTCCTATGGGAAAATCATTGGTTTTGCAGAGATAATCAAGCGTAATGATCTCAACCAAGGGGGAGGAGCCAGCCACAAGCAGACACACAGCAATGGAAAAAGGTGGTAAGGGAGAACACGAGGGCCTAAACTGTTATTTAGATCAAGTGTTGGGAATACACATTTGAATTCATGACTCTAGTGTCCCTTTAAACAACAGATTCTGATGGTCCTTAAAATAACAATCAGAATTGAGAAAAAAAATAAAGCAACAGCACATATATAGAAATATAGGTATAGCTAGGGAAGAGGGGAGTAGCAAAATACTCTTAATGCAGGTCTGGCTCTTGAGTTCTACAAGCACCTCATGATGGTGCAGTTTTTGGTTAAATACAGTGAGGGGAAAAAGTTTTGAACCCCTGATGATTGAACGTTTGTCCATTGACAAAGAGATATCATGTTATAATTTCAATGGTAGGTGTATTTTAACAGTGAGAGACAGAATAACCACAAAAAAAAAAAAAAAAAGACCCAGAAAAAAACAGGTGAAAAAAGTTATGAATTGATTTGAATGTCAATGAGTGAATTAAGTATTTGATCCCCTATCAGCATGATTTCTGGCTCCCAGGTGTCTTTAATACAGGTAACGAGCTGAGATTAGGAGCAATCTCTTAAAGGAAGTGCTCCTTATCTGTACAAGACAACTGTCCAAAGAAGCAATCAGACTCCAAACTCTCCACCATGGCAAAGGTGTCCAAGGATGTCAGGGACAAGATTGCAGAGCTACACAAGGCTGGAATGGGCTACAAGACGATCGCCAAGCAGCTTGGTAAGAAGTTGACAACAGTTGGTGCGATTATTCGCAAATGGAAGAAACACAAAATAACAGTCTCCCTCAGTCTGGTGCTCCATGCAAGATCTCAACTTGTGGAGTTTCAATAATCATGAGAATGGTGATGAATCAGCCAAGAACTACACGGAGCATCTTGTTAATGATCTCAAGGCAGCTGGGACCATAGTCACCCCCCCAAAAAAAATATACCAATTTTTTTTTTTTTTTTTTTTTGTAACTACGCCGTGAAGGACTGAAATCCTTCAGCGCACGCAAGGTCCCCCTGCTCAAGAAAGCACATGTACAGGCTTGTCTGAAGCTTGTGAATGAAAATCTGAATGATTCAGAGGAGAACTGGGTGAAAGTGTTGTGGTCAGAGGAGACCAAAATCGAGCTCTTTGGCATCCACTCAACTCGCTGTGTCTGGAGGAGGAGGAATGCGGCCTATGACCCCAAGAACACCATCCCCACCATCAAACATGGAGGTGGAAACATTAGGCTTTGGGGTGTTTTTCTGCTAAGGGGATATGACAACTGCACCACATCAAAAGAAACAATGGATGGGGCCATGTACAGTCAAATCTTGGGTAAGAACAACCTTTCTATAACCAGGGCATTAAAAATTGGTCATGGATGGGTATTCCAGCATGACAATGACCAAAAATACACAGTCAAGGCAACAAAGGAGTAGCTCAAGAAGAAGCACATTAAGGTCCTGGAGTAAGCCTAACCAGTCTCCAGACCTTAATCCCATAGAAAGTCTGTAGGGAACTGAAGGTTTGAGTTGCCAAACGTCAGCCTGGAAACCGTAATGACTTGGAGAAAATCTGTAAAGAGGAGTGGGATAAAATCCCTCCTGAGATGTGTGCAAACCTGGTGGCCAACTACAAGAAACGTCTGACCTGTGTGATTGCCAACAAGGGTTTTGCCACCAAGTACTAAGTCGAAGAGGTCAAATACTTATTTCACTCATTGACATGCAAATCAATTTATAACTTTTTTGACATGCGTTTTCTGGATTTTTTTTTTCTCTCACTGTTAAAATACACCTACCATTAAAATTATAGAGTGGTCATTTCTTTGGCAGTGGGCAAATGTTCAAAATCAGCAGGGGATCAAATACTTTTTTCCCCTCACTGTATATACCTTCCTATTAGATATAAATGGAACCAATAAGCAAATGGCTCAGCATGAAAGGTCCTAATGATCTAATCCTAAAAAGCTAAATATATTTGTAATTATAATGATATATATAATTTAATCTTAATAAAAAAAATCTCCTTTGTATTACTTTACAAATCCAAAACTAGTTTATATACACATTATTAAGACAAAAACATAATTGTTTGCTATAAGTATACAGGGAGTGCAGAATTATTAGGCAAGTTGTATTTTTGAGGATTAATTTTATTATTGAACAACAACCATGTTCTCAATGAACCCAAAAAACTCATTAATATCAAAGCTGAATATTTTTGGAAGTAGTTTTTAGTTTGTTTTAGTTATAGCTATGTTAGGGGGATATCTGTGTGTGCAGGTGACTATTACTGTGCATAATTATTAGGCAACTTAACAAAAAACAAATATATACCCATTTCAATTATTTATTATTACCAGTGAAACCAATATAACATCTCAACATTCACAAATATACATTTCTGACATTCAAAAACAAAACAAAAACAAATCAGTGACCAATATAGCCACCTTTCTTTCCAAGGACACTCAAAAGCCTGCCATCCATGGATTCTGTCAGTGTTTTGATCTGTTCACCATCAACATTGCGTGCAGCAGCAACCACAGCCTCCCAGACACTGTTCAGAGAGGTGTACTGTTTTCCCTCCTTGTAAATCTCACATTTGATGATGGACCACAGGTTCTCAATGGGGTTCAGATCAGGTGAACAAGGAGGCCATGTCATTAGATTTTCTTCTTTTATACCCTTTCTTGCCAGCCACGCTGTGGAGTACTTGGACGCGTGTGATGGAGCATTGTCCTGCATGAAAATCATGTTTTTCTTGAAGGATGCAGACTTCTTCCTGTACCACTGCTTGAAGAAGGTGTCTTCCAGGAACTGGCAGTAGGACTGGGAGTTGAGCTTGACTCCATCCTCAACCCGAAAAGGCCCCACAAGCTCATCTTTGATGATACCAGCCCAAACCAGTACTCCACCTCCACCTTGCTGGCGTCTGAGTCGGACTGGAGCTCTCTGCCCTTTACCAATCCAGCCACGGGCCCATCCATCTGGCCCATCAAGACTCACTCTCATTTCATCAGTCCATAAAACCTTAGAAAAATCAGTCTTGAGATATTTCTTGGCCCAGTCTTGGCGTTTCAGCTTGTGTGTCTTGTTCAGTGGTGGTCGTCTTTCAGCCTTTCTTACCTTGGCCATGTCTCTGATTATTGCACACCTTGTGCTTTTGGGCACTCCAGTGATGTTGCAGCTCTGAAATATGGCCAAACTGGTGGCAAGTGGCATCGTGGCAGCTGCACGCTTGACTTTTCTCAGTTCATGGGCAGTTATTTTGCGCCTTGGTTTTTCCACACGCTTCTTGCGACCCTGTTGACTATTTTGAATGAAACGCTTGATTGTTCGATGATCACGCTTCAGAAGCTTTGCAATTTTAAGAGTGCTGCATCCCTCTGCAAGATATCTCACTAATTTTGACTTTTCTGAGCCCGTCAAGTCCTTCTTTTGACCCATTTTGCCAAAGGAAAGGAAGTTGCCTAATAATTATGCACACCTGATATAGGATGTTGATGTCATTAGACCACACCACTTCTCATTACAGTGATGCACATCACCTTATATGCTTAACTGGTAGTAGGCTTTCGAGCCTATACAGCTTGGAGTAAGACAACATGCATAAAGAGGATGTGGTCAAAATTCTCATTTGCCTAATAATTCTGCACTCCCTGTACTGAAACTTGCGCTATTGTTCTCGATTAGTTTATTCCAACACTGCCCTTATCACCTCTTGTCCTCTATACCAAAACTCTGGAACCAACACTTGAAAGTTTTCATTACTCAGTGTTGCAAAGTATGTTGGAGTGTTATAAAATAGTATAGTGTAAAAACAGCCATAAAGGACAGACACAGGGAAAAGCTTACCGAAGGTGATGCTAAAGCCTACAAGAATGAACAGGTTCAAACATTATTTTAAATCCCAGAGAAGACATCTGAAGTCACAAACAGATTATAATTTATCATATCCCATTTCAGGATTGTTCAGACTGAATCAAAAAGATACATAACCCAGAACTAAAGAAGCAGAAAAATGAGGGGTAGTTTGCATTCCATAAGCAAACTATTCCTCTGTGACTATATAGGGGGCATTTTCAATTTGGGTACAACAGGGAAATAAACTGCACCCAATAGCATTTCACAATCTAGGTTTAAGTAACACAGGATCACATTTTGGAATACTATAAAATGGTAAATTCAGGTTTATCTAGAGAGGTCTTAAGAGACTTTCTTTGCGGTTTGAGAAAGTAATTTAGAACGCTAACAACTCTATATGTTGAGTTTTTAGGTTTTATGACTATTTGTAAACAAGGTCACAACAAAAAGCCATTTTTTTTTTTTTTTTAAGAACCATAATTATACATAAGAAATATAAAATAGCCAGATGGCTTTATAGGCGCAGGTCCTTTGCCACATTAGCCGCACCAACCCCCCCAAACACACACACACACTCCTCCCTACTTGCAGGCTGCAGGTGTGCTCAGCCATGCAAGGGGTTAAACAGACACCTCTTTGTTGGAAGTTGAGGCTAATCCCCAAGCTGCCACCATCACCACCCAGTCTGCCCCCCTCCCTAGCACACACATTTCTGACTCCTAATATCTCATGAGGGAGTCAACTCTGACTCCTCCCCCTATTGTTACCAAGCAACAACCTGAAAGAGACCTAGCAAACAAGAACAATGGTATATACTAGGCAAGTGATCCCTGTTGTGTGGCCCTTATGTAGGTCACGAAGCACAAGATGGACATCATTTGTTAAAGACACAAACAGTAATGGATGTTAGACAGGGTGTAGCAACAGAAGTGGAACAACATGTCTGACACTTATTTTTTAGGAAAACAGTATTACATTACAGCAGTGGAATACAAAGGTTCTTTGAGGAATTATATACACACAAATTTTCAGTGCAATCTTGTTAATGTACAAATATGTCCGCAATACCATGGCCACATACATAGTCGGGTTAAAAAAAAAAAAAATTATACACACACACACACACACACACACACACCTCCTGCAAGCCAAGGTCTAGCAAGTTGTTTACAGAAAGCGGAGCATTTAATGAACTACAAGAACGTCAAGAGACCAACAATTATGCTAATAATTCTTATTCTGTAATACATTATGCCTCTATTTCACCATTTATTTTATTTCTGGATTTCACTAAAGGGACTGTTAACAACTCATACAAAACCAGTGTCTACTCGTAAAGTCAGTTTGAAGGACTCAAATATGAGAATCATTGGGTTATAATTTAAAGAACATTTAACATACACTGCTTACAAATATAGCAAACCCACAAACAAGGCAGATCTGCAGAATCACAACTGTGCATATAGCTTCCGCGTGCAATCCAAAAAGAGTCTCCCAAAAGGTCCTAGTGTGCAGCTGCGTGTTACGCTGCATGTAGGGCATGAGTGTATTAATGTGTAAGTGCATGCACCAACATTGACTGCAGAGCCAATAATCTTTGAGGACGTTGCAGAAAGACGGTCAAAAATGTTAAACTAATTATTTGCTGGCAATTTTGCTACAACACTGTATAGATGATAGTTTTAAAATAACCAAGTTACTAAAGTGAGAATTCAAAGTGAATTTCAAATTTAAGGTCAATGTAGTTGAAACGGAATATCAGCTATGCTTCGAGTTTGGCTACTTTAGCCTTAAAGTTGATAACCACTTTGAATCTCACTTTAGTGAATAACCCTGTAAATGCGGCCTTTCTACGCACACCTTTTGCAGATGACTGGTTCATTATGTTACGAGTCACTAAAGGCAAATCATACCTTTGCAAAGCAATATCTATCATTTTTAGTCATGCTCCTGGTTACGCTCTGTCTAGTTATAAATGTGCATATAAGTATAAAAAGGGTGAACCTCTAATCTGTGAAAAACACTCTAGGCTGCAATTTAGCAACCTTCTTGGCCTCTTCAGTGTAGGACTTGCATCGAAAGAAGATGAAAATGTTTTTCTAACCACAGACACACACACACACAACTCTGCAATATCTAGAAACGTACTCCCTTGCTGCCCCCTATCTTCAGAACAATCAAGCATTTGCAAAGTTCAACCCAAGTGACTATGAAAGACCTATTTTACATGAAGCACTAGCACATTAAAATAAAGATATCAAAAGGCACGATCAGAATATGCGCCTACATGTTATACGTACCTGTATTTCTGCCATTTCCACTCAGATTGTGTACTCTATAGAGGAAGGGCTGCCAAACTGATATATGCTTATTTTTAGTACACGGTTATCTCATTCTTTGTATCTCCCCTTATTTCAAAAGTAAAACTAAAGTGCCAAGTACATCTGTTAGCTGAATTATATACATGTACACTTACACCATTGTACCTTTCACGTTATTAAAAGGCCTCTACTCTGTTAAAATAAAAAGTAAACATTTTCATTTCAGACGAGTGTACTGCGTCTCTACAGACGAGGAACAGGACATACTCCTAACTGCATGGGTTTATAATGCCACAGTATAGATTATAACAAGTTTTATTCAACATTTTGCATCTCACTTGATGACAACACATTGAGTGTGCAGCCAAGCATAGACTTACTGTACCTACACCATTGTACAGCGCTAAGGAATGTGATGGCGCAATAATAATAATAATAATAATAATAATAATAATAATAATAATAATAATAATGTGTGTGAGCAACAGAAAGAAGGGCCCGAGGAAAAGAGTGATCGTTCCATAGAATGCAAAATATAGTTGGTATTAATGGCGTTTTTAAAGTCAGATGGAGCTCATAGATTAACATTGATCTGGTTTTATAGAACTAGCTGTAATCCATCAGCATACACATATAGACTACACTTTTTGCTGCACGTGCAAGCCCATTGCAAGGCCAGATGGCAGAGAGCATACAGCCCACTCAAAGTAGAAGAAACTAGGAGACAACAAGAAAGCAGTAGCTACATATTTTTAGTAGCTGCTGATCTCACAATCCATTTATTTCTCATCTGAAACAAACCTGTTCATCCATGCATGTTGGAATATATACCCTGTGCTCACCAAATGGTTACCAAATACAGATCCAATTATACAAAGAACATGAGTTTCTAGCTGATCACGCCACATAGCTGAAATTGAAAAGGTGTTCACTGCTTTTATGTTGGATCCATGCATTTGAAATATAACGCATGCCAACTTTGGGATTACCAACATTAAACCATGATAGGTAGTTACATGCACAAACACCCTTCTCACAAACAGGATGAGAAAGGTCAGCAAATGACAAGTCATACTGAAAACTCCTAAACTTGACAATCAGTGTCAATCCTAAAAACATATTAGACAATTTGGACGGTTTAGTTAACCCCTGAATATTTATGGTAATTACCCACCTCATCTTAGAGTGACTACAGTAAGAGATGTCCTCCATGCATGCTCAACCATAACCACATCTGAAAGGAAGTCACAACCTGACCCAGTGTTCTAAGCATGGACATGTTTGCAGTGTTTTTTTTTCTAGTATGGTTTTTACAAATGCATTTCTACAAGTAATTTCTTTTAATTGGTACTCTAACTAGTACAAATGTAATTTAAAAAAAAAAAAAAAAGTACATTGGACAAACCAAGATGCACCATGGCAATATAAATGACAAAGTGATATTTGACAGCAAAATCTAAAAGGATGTTTTGTTTAAATTGAGTCTATTTTGCATAGATATTTCACATCAATACACCTGGCAGGTGCATAACGCAAGAAAAAAAAAATATGGAACAAAGTGGTTTTCAATGTGCATTGGCCTTACGCACATTTCAAAACAGGAAGGACAGGGGGGGAAAAAAAGGAGGGGGGGGGGAGTGGAGGAAGACTCTTGGGAGCGGATCCAGAACACAGGGTTAAATGACGTAGACAGGGAGTAAGCTAGCTACAACATATAAAAATCAACATTGCCAGCTCTTCTTTACACCTCCCCAAAAGTTTATTAAAACCCAAGGACCAAGTATCCCCACAGATAAGGTATCCCAGCATCATCCATATTGCATATACATGGTGTATGCTGCAGGCAAGGGAGATCCCAAATAACCTTTTGTCATTTCATTCCCCATCTTCTCCATGAATCCTTACATCTCATCATTAATGTGTTCAAGTCTCACCAAGTACAAGGCTTTAAGAGAGTCACGGTAACCACACACAGCACACCAATATATATGTGCCTTGCTTAATGGAGATGTCTGAACCAAGAAGCCATTTTTTTTTTTTTAACCCCCTCCCTTATAATAAAACTTATTTCACCAAGGGAGGGGAAGAAGAGAGCTGGTGAGAAATCAGACATGAAGCTTCAAAACTCCCTGGGCACTTCCCACCTCCCCTAGAGGCATCTGCTCTCTCCACAGCACCCCCACCTACAGACAATATCCCATCACCCACCCTCTTTAACCCCTTCCTCGCCGAACTGGACATCTGCAGAACAACGTGGTCTGCTGTGTTCCTAATGGGTGCTTAATATAGGATAAAGGAGGATGGAGAAATTCAGCGCCGCCCCCCCCACCCCCCCCGAAAAAGAAAAAAAAAAGAAGTGACCCTTAATATGATAACAGGAAGAGAGTGAAAATTACTACATGGTGTTATCAGGCCATCGCTATCAACTTCTTGTCAATATACCACATCTGAAGGGTCTGATTTCACACAACCCCCCCATAGACCGGCACTCCATCAGCCTGGTGGGCTGCAATAATAAAGGATCTGCTTTTTAGCAGCCAGATAACGAGGGGTAAAGAAACAATTAGGGGTCTGATGCCTCCTCACTGCCTCCCATCCCCCACCTACAAGGAGGAGCATCTGACTCATTAAATAAAATAATACTACAACTTTTTGATTGAAGCCCCCCAAACAGAGGTGGAATAGAAAAGTTCCCGCCCGCTCCCCCTGGTGCCCCTGACTCACGGTGTGATGGGGGTGGCAGCCTGGGCCTGGCCGAGCTGAGGCCTCTCTCGCCGGGTCCCTGCACACACGGATCCCCGGTAGTCCTGGCCTCTGCTCACGTTGCCAAATAATGCGCCTCTTACACATGGAGGCTCCAGCCGCCTCCAGCAGCGCATGCGCAGCCGCCCTTTAATCCTCTGTATACCCCTTCAACAGAGGGCTAGGGGTCTTAAAGGAGACAGTCTGAGTGTGAGCAAGTGTGCCCGGGAAAAAAATGTGGGCAGAGCACGGATTGCAGGCTCACTCCTCCCACCTCACCGGAAAAACACCATACACATAGATCTCTGAAGACAAACACAATTACACATCTCCATCTAACAGAGGATTCAGTGAACAGTGTAAATGTAAAAAAATATACATAATATCCCAATTTGTGTACACACGTCAAAAGATAACGTCATTTACTTTGGTTGTCTTCCAAGGGCTAGAGAGGAAAAGACCAAATACAAAGTGTGTATATATAACACACACATACATACACACATATATACATATACATACACACACAGATAAGGGGAAAATATAAAAGTATATCATATTGTAATAACTTTTTATTGGACTAAGAAATTTGGAATGAGAAGATTTCAGGATATCCTCTATTTACTATCCCTAAATTCTGTTTGGCCAAGATAAAAAAAAAAAAAAAGGTATTATTACAGTAATATTATTTAGAATCCGTGCCACTTGTTTAAGTTACCTTTGGAAACCAAAGTATTCATCCACAAAGTGCAGCTTAGTTATAGGAGCCCACAAGTGTAGCCAAAGTTTATTCAAACAGCATTCAAAGTACAGACATTTTGGGACCCTGTTCCTATATCTATGTTGGGCATTTGTCAGCGATAAAGGGGCAGGGGTCCCGAAACATCTGTACTTTGAATAAACTTGGGTTGCACTAGTGGGTCACTATAACTAAGGGGGCACTTTGTAGTTGAATACTTTAGAATTGCTATATTTTGCTTGCTGTTGGGGCTACAGCAGATTATAAACAATTTGGTTAAATTATTTTGCCTTTTGGCATTATGCTATATCACATTTTTTTTGCTCATATCTTTGGCCCTCTTTCTGGAAAAATAAAAATAAATTTAGACATAGCTGTATATAATACATTGCTAAACAAAAAATACACACACCAGTCAAGCCCAACGACTTGATTTTCCCCACAGAAGAGAATGTGGATGAAAACCCCTTCCACCTGAAGTAAATGGATAGTTAATATATTAATATTAGCTATCCAATTACTTCAGGTGGAAAGGGTTTTCATCCACACTTTCTCCCCCACCACAACTTTTTTGGTGTATATTAGGGATCGACAGATGTTTATTTTTTTTTAGAGCAGATATCGATAATCTGTGAACTTTCAGACCGATAGCCGATAACTTACCGATATTCTGTACAGTTACCATTTTTTAAAAAATTGACTATTTCTACACAAATCTACTGTTAACTGAACATGTTTATTTTATTGACTTTGCAAATTTTTTTTTTATTTTTTTTATTTTTTTTAAAGGTAAATGCACAAAATATACAGGCCAGGTCAGAATTATTTGTTTTCAAGAATATATGTGTGTATAATGGATGCAGTGAGTATTTGACTAGTGAATGCAGAGTGTGTGTTTGTGTATAGTGAATGTAGTGTATGTTTTTGTGTAGTGTGTATATAATAAATGCAGAGTGTGTGTTTGCTTATTGTGTATATAATAAATGCAGAGTGTTTGTGTAGTGTGTGTGTATAATGAATGCAGAGTGTGTGTGCATAATGAATGCAGAGTGTGTGTGCATAATGAGTGCAGAGTGTGTGTGCATAATGTGTGCAGTGAGTGTTTGTGCAGTGAGTGTTTGTGCAGTGAGTGTTTGTGCAGTGAGTGTTTGTGCAGTGAGTGTTTGTGCAGTGAGTGTTTGTGCAGTGAGTGTTTGTGCAGTGAGTGTTTGTGCAGTGAGTGTTTGTGCAGGTATGCCAAGTGTGTAAAATTGGGGGGGGTGGCATTTTTATTTTGTAACTATGTTTAAATATTAAAAAAAAATTTAAATTTGTCTGTTCCCCCCCCCCCACACTTCTTAACTGGCCAGGGAGTGGGGTATGGCATTCCCTGGTTGTCCAGTGGCATGGACTGTGCAGAGGGGGCCCAGCACACTTTTACTTACCTTCCCAGCAGCTCCCTTCAGCTCCCCTGTCTAACTCTCACAGCCTGTTTGCCGCACGGAGCATTGTCATGGTAACCCGTGGCAACACACTGACAGCCGTGGGACTCGCGAGAGTTAGACAGGGGAGCGCCTGGGAAGGTAAGTAATAGCGTGCTGGGCCCCCAGGACCCGGATGGCGGCCCTGGTCTGAATTATCAGTATCTTTATGGCCGATACCGCTGAAAATACAGAATATCGGCCAGACCCATAATCGGTCGATGCCGTGTGTGTGTATGTGTGAAATATATATCTCCAAAGTAGAATAGCTGCTCACCGGTCTTAAAATGTAAACGCTTTAATAAATAAAGTTTTAAAAACGACCAACGTTTCAGTCCCCGATCGGGACTTTCCTTAGGGTCAACAATAGGATAACCATGGGGTTATTGATAAAATCCTGTTTGGTTGAAATGTTGATCCATATTGGAAACTAGGGATCGATCGATTATCGGTCTGGCCGATATTATCGGCCATTATTCTGTATTTTCAGAAATATCAGTGTCGGCCAGTACCAATACGGATACTGCCAATAATGCAGACCAGGGCCGCCATCAGGGTCCTGGGGGGCCCAACAAGTGCTTACTTACCTTCCCAGCAGCTCCATTCAGCACCCTGTGTAAATCTCACGATTCCTGTGGCCATCAGAGTGTTGCCAAGGGTTACCATGGCAACACTCCGCGCAGCACTCAGGCCGCAAAATTTACACAGCGAGCTGAGGGGAGCTGCTGGGAAGGTAAGTAAGCACTTGCTGGCCCCCCCAGGGAATGCCATATCCCCAGTTCCTGGCCAAGTAAGAAACAGGGAGGGGGGGACTAAAACATAAAAAAAAAAAAAAATTAAAAAAAAAAAATTTGAGGATTGAGTGCGAGAGAAATAAATATATATACACACACACATACACTAGGGATCGACCAATATTCTGTATTTTCAGCAATATCGGTATTGGCCAATAAAGATACCGATATTGCAGACCAGGGCTTGAAAAAAAAAAAAAAATTTATATATATTATATATACATATATATACACACACACACACACATATATATACATATACATATATACATACACACACACACACACACACACACACTTTTCATCCAAGAAAAACAAGGTCCAGGGAAATTGATGTTTCAGTTCCCTGTTGGGACTTTCATTAGGAGAGAGAATAATTTTGGTATTGTACACATTTGCGTCCTATAATTCAGAAGTATTAAACCACTAAAAAAAGCTTTTGGATATACTTTTGATGGATGGATGTATTATATCCAGAAGTTTTTTTAGTGGTTTAATACTTACAAGTTATAGGACGCAAATGTGTACAATACCAAAATCTAGTGAGGGATCGAGATGCAAAAATAGTAAACATTTAAAAGCATAGTTTTAACTTGATACAGGTATCTTTTTGACCAAATAATTCAAACGGCAATGCGGTCATTTAAGCATCATAAGCTCTTAACCTACTTGTTATTAAGATACGTGAAATACTAATCTGGGCTTGTGATAGTAATGCAAGTGATCATGTGTGTACAGCGCTGCAGAATCTGTTGGCGCTTTATAAATATTAATGTTAAAAAATTTTTTTACAAAAAATAATAAAAAATAAATAAAAAAAAACACACCACAACCCACCATTATCACCACAGATGAAATTAGAACAATAGAGCATTATTTGTTTGACCTCAAATGTATCAACCTCCTAGGAGAGCCCAACATTCCATTTTAGATACAATTTAGCAATTCAACAATGCACAGCATATACAACTCTGACCTACCCTGTCCAATTAATCTGATATTTCCTCTCTTCATCAAATATTAGTTTTGAGGTGATATTTTTCCATCTAATACTGGAAAAAAGCATGCATGGCAAAACACTGCGCTCCTCTAATCAAATGCTGCTATCAGGAAGAAGTGCCTAAAGTGGCACAGAAAGACAGCCACTAGAGGTGTATTTGGTCTGAGTGACTTTAGTGGCCCAACAAGTCAATTCATAGTCTAAGTCATAGCTACCGGTTTCAGGTTAGAGCCAGTGGTAGGTAAATTAAAAGAAGTTCTACTGCTTGGTAAGAGATCTACCAGTCGCTGAATCAGATATCATTAGCAATAACCAATAGTCATCCAGTAATGATGGCTATATCTAGTGTGATACACCTAAAACTAAAATTGGGTGAATTAATGTATGACTAAACTGATGTGAAGTTAAGTTGTTATACAGAAAATGTTCCCCAAGCCACACAGTGCGATCTCCTTCCAGAAGAAAGCTGAGAAACACTTTAAAAAAATCACATCACATGACATAGGAAAAAATATTGCTAGTGAATAAACACTATTTATCTAATACATAAGATCAGAGGAGGCACTCAGCATATTAATTATGAGACCATACTATGAAAACAAACTTTATACGTGACATTACTGCAAGAGCTAATAACAATAGTTTATTGGGAGTAATTCTGAACAAAGTTGTGAAAGTAGAACAATTTCCATAAATGTTCTTTTGGCTTCAATTGTGAATGCTTTTCAATGGTTCTTCATACATAGGTCTTTGATTACAATACAGACACTCCTCACTTACCGACCGGGCTTCGTTCTTACGATCCGGTCGTAAAACAAATTGGTCAGTAAGTGAGGATGCGCTACAGAGCAAATAGATCAGATGATTTCCCTGCTCTGGCGCGCTTGCCTATGTTCGGGGAAATTTACCCGAATGTAGACATACGCACCAGAGCAGTGAATCCCTCTAATCTATGTTCAGGGAAAATTCCCCCAAACATAGTCAAGCTCTCTAACGTGGGCATTTCCTTGAATCCCCACACTAGAGAGAGTTGGTCATAAGTGCGAGCCGTCGTAAAACAGATAGGTCGTAAAGTGAGGACCACCTGTATTTGTATATAGTACTAGTTGGATAGACCAATTTAAGAGAACCTAAATTATCAGGAAGCAAAGAAGAGATTCGGCCATAGAGCTCAAAACTCAAATATTGTTGTCATCCACTTTTTTTTTCTTCTTTTAATTACCTTTGTGGAAGAAGCAATGTGGTAAACTATTACAAACTTTTTGGGAGTTGCAAACTGTAGTATACACTAGGGATGGACCAATTATCGGTTTTACTGATATTATCGGCCGATATTCATTATTTTCGGCAAATAGAGATACCGATATTTACGATAATACATACCAGGACAAGCCCAGAGGTCCTGCAGGGGGGGGGGGCACAGCAAGCTGTTCCTTACCTTTCCAGTAGCTCCTTCAGCTCCCTGTGTAAATATTGCGAGTCCCGCGGCCGCAGAGCATTGCCACGGGTTACCATGGCAACACTCTGCGCGGAACGCAGACCGCGAGATTTACAGAGGGGAGCTGGAGGAGCTGCTGGGAGGTAAGTAACAGCTTGCTGCCGGGCCCTCCCACTGCTCAGTACATGCCACTGGACCACCAGGGAATGCCATAGCCTAAAAAAATAAAAACAAATATTAAAATTAAAAAAAATGCCTCCCTTCCTGCCCATTTAACACAAATTACATCCCTTCACAAACACACACTATACTCATTATACACACTATACTCATTATACACACACACACACCACAAACACTGCATTCATTATACACACACACACTCTATACAAACACACACTGCATTCATTATACACACACACACACACACACTGCATTCATTATACACACACACACTCTGCATTTATTATATAAACAGACAACACAAACACACTGCATTCACTTTATACACATAATATATATATATATATATATATATATATATATATATATACACACATATATACATACACACACACACACACACACACACACACATACATACACACACACACACTATTCCTTTTTATCCCTGCACACACTCTTTCAAGTTATTTGAATGCCGGGTAAATTCCAGCCAAAGTCAAATATCATACAAACTAGTAAATGAAGGCTTGCACTCATGGTCTTTTTCTTGTATAAAAAAAGTTCTTTCTTTATTCCATATTTCTTAAAAAACATACTTTCTGTTAGAATCAACGTTTCAGCCATCGTCCGTGGCTTTCATCAGGATCAGTTCAGCAAAACACACACACACACACACTACATGTGGCATGCATATTTTGTGCATTTACGTTTAGAAATAGTTTATTTTTTCAAAATGGTAAATTTACAGAATATCGGCAAGTTATCGGCCTGAAAGTTCACAGATTATCGGTATCGGCTCTAAAAAACAAAAACAAAAAAAAAAACACAATATCGGTCGATCCCTAGTATACACAAATGTAAATTCACAAAATTCCAAGTATTTCAAAGTCCAGTGATGGCAAACCTTTTTGAGTGGGTGTGCTGAAACAGTAGTTTAAAGGGACACTATTGGTAACCAAACTACTTCATCTCAATGAAGTGGTCTGGGTGCCCATGTCAATCTTGCTTTAACCCTCTAGCACTTGGTCCAATGGGAGGATAATACTCTAGTGGTCTCAAGGTGGAGAGCATGCTATGTATTTCCACCGAGGTGCAGATTATATAATTTGCTCCTTTAATCTAGTACTCCGTATGGAAGTTAGAACACAGGCTAGGAATACCACACAGTGTGCAGGAACCGCAAAGGAGCAATTAATATGGAGCTGCAGACCATGAGCATCACCACATGATTATCTGCCTTATAGTAGCACCGGTTCCGACATGGCAAACCTTTGGTTCATATGCCAGGAGAGATCTCTGCTCCCTCATCGTGGTATGGTGATCAAGTACGCTTAAAGGAACACTATAGTGTCTAGAATACAAATGTGTATTTCTGACACTATAGATCTAAATGGCTTCCCATTTTAATTTAACTCAACTTTTTCAAGCACCGTGCGGGTCTGGTCGCAGCTTGCCCTTCCCATGCTGAGATCAAACTTGGGAATCCCATTGAAAAGCGTTCTGGTGACTATAGTGTCCATTTAACTGTTGATGAGAGGGTTAGAGTGCAGTAAAATCACCATGAAAACTCCTTTATGACTGATGGCCTAACTTCAACTAAATTTGCTCAAGTTGGGGTGACTTGAGGGTGCTGCCAATATACTTTGAACTGGATTTTGCTGGTCCCCTGATGCCATGTTTAATCAGAGGACTTTTTTCATGAAATATCTGCATTTCAACCCATGCACAATTGCAACTCAAATCAATTTGGCATTATAATTTGTCTACTATACAAAGTGTCAAAATACTGACATCACAGAGGCAAATCAAGCATAAATTAAAATCCCTGTAATTGTATAACTCTATAGTAATATTTGTAGCACACCAACTATACCTGGAGGTTAAAGCATGCTTAAGACAAAAAATTCTCAAAGCATTACAATTGTCAGCAGTAATAAAAGTCTTCAATACAAAAACTGCAAGAATTACTACTGCAGGGACTGGAGCGTTTTATTTAGAACACGAATAACATTCCTCTGAACAGCTACAAAATTTAAAATAAATAAGTCACAACGGGCTCAATACATCTGCATAGCCTTTAATATATGTGTTTATATACTGCAAAAGTTAGGATAAAATAGTAGATTTGCACACAAAACAAAAACCTCAAGGCCTAACTTCCCTCACTCATGTACAGTCAAAGATTGGCTATTTTAGATCAAGTTCACCACCAAGCACACAGTAGAGAGGGTAAGCAGCACACAATGATCTTAGACATCTATGTTTCAGAAATTGAGGTATACCCTATAAATGCATCATAACTAAATTAGACACCAGGACCTCACAACACTTAAGTTCCTATGATCCCATAGTTTTAGCCCAACAACTGAACTGATGATCATGAATTCATCCGATGCATTGCCAAGGTGAGTGTTAAATTTTTTTGTATATTTAATGTAAGGCAAAAACAATTCATAGGGAAGGCAAATCCAACTATTAAAAAATTCAAACTAAAAACCATTTAGGTAATCTTCTAAAAAGTATTATACACGTTGCATAGTTGTGGAAAAAAAAAAATATATCTAATTTTCTCACTGACCATCAGCAAAGGGGGGGGGGGGGTTGGATATACACTACAAGTGGAAATTCACTGATCAGAACAAAATGCTTTAACCCCTTTTACATCAAAGTAGTACTTTTAAGAATACAATGGCACATAAACCATTAGCATGTCATTTATTCAGTGTAGGAGGAAGAGCTTTCCCATTAATGATATGTGGCTCATGGCAGAGGAATGGTTAGCATAGGTAGGTGGGACATAATAAAGTAAGAGGCTGTTTAGGGCTGGGTCTTGCAGGAAGTACGTCTCCCACTCTGCCTTGCAGAGTCAGCTGGCAGGGAACATCCTCTGTGACTATTTGTGCAGAAGCCACCTAGCTGCACTATAAGCACATTAACCCTTCTGACAGACGTCACTGGCTTCGGCCATTTTGTGAATATCCGGCAGAGCCAAACAACCTTTAACCCTTTCACTGCCAGAAGATGACAAAACCAGTTTCAGTACCTTTAGTGCTTAAATTCTTAAACATCCTTGTCAATCATTAAATGAGGTTTTAGGGGGGACACACCAACATACTACACTTTAATAGGATTATTCGCTTAACCGTGAATTGTTTGGAATGCAAATTTAATTTCAAATTTGAAGGCAAAAACAGTCGGACAACATGGTTAAGTTATACAGTGTTATTTACTAAAGACAGAATTTAAAGTGAATTTAAAATTTAAGGTCAAAATAGCTGAACATGAAAAGTTTTCTTAGCTATGTTTTCAGCTCGGCTACTCTGGCCTTAAATTTGACAGTAGAGATTGTCCTATATACACATTTTTTACAGAGCCGATACAGATTATTGGTCACCTTTAAACTAAAGGCTGACAAACAGTGGCAATATTCTGTACATTCAAATTTAAAAAAAAAAAAACAACAAAATGTCGACACAAATCTAGCATTATCTAAACAGGTTAACAGTAATCACACTCCTATCACTCTCAGTCAGCCAGGTCATTGCAGTAGATTATTCCCCCATCTCCAGAGCTCCACATGTAGAGGAGTGATGTGAGGTCGAGATGTGGCGCCTCATTGGCTGGAGTTTCTGGATACGCAAGACCATGTAAAGTGACTAGGAGAGGTGAGTAAGTTATCGGAAATATCAGTAAATTACAAGACCGATTATGGCAAATATGCTGAATATCGGCTAACCCTATTTGAAATTCTCTTAGAAATTCTCACTTTAGTAAATAACCGAGAGAACTTTCCCAATTTGTCTATCTCCGCCTAAAATTTTAAACTCACTTTAAATTCCTGACAATTCACACTTTAGTAAAAAGTCTTGATAACGTATTCCTACCTTTTAAGTGGTCAATTGTTACAGCCTCACTGCCTAAATAGTTCATGCAACTAATTTTCACACTCTACAAATATAAGACTGAGATGCTTGTTTACGTCTCTACTAAAATGATTTACCTCCAGCTACTTTAGAATAATGGTAATGTGTTCAAATTAAAGGACCACTCTAGGCACCCAGACCACTTCAGCTTAATGAAGTGGTCTGGGTGCCAGGTCCTTCTAGGGTTAACCCATTTTTTCATAATTATAGCAGTTTCAGAGAAACTGCTATAATTATGAATGGGTTAAGCCTTCCCCCTAATCCTCTAGTGGCTGTCTCATTGACAGCCACTAGAGGCGCTTGCGTGCTTCTCACTGTGAAAATCACAGTGAGAGCACGCCAGCGTCCATAGGAAAGCATTGTAAATGCTTTCCTATGAGACCGGCTGAATGCGCCAGCTCTTTCCGCCGCGCATTCAGCCGCGGGCGTAACGGAGGCGGAGAGGAGGAGGAGAGCTCTCCGCCCAGCGCTGGAAAAAGGTAAGTTTTTACCCCTTTCCCCTTCCAGAGCCGGGCGGGAGGGGGACCCTGAGGGTGGGGGCACCCTCAGGGCACTATAGTGCCAGGAAAACGAGTATGTTTTCCTGGCACTATAGTGGTCCTTTAACCTCGAGAAGATGTTATACACCCCTCCTAGAACTTCCATACATACAGGCTATAGTGATAATTCAAAGTGAATTTAAAATGTAAGGCTGAAGTTGCCAAACTGAAGGTAAAGCTGACCTAAAGAATGTTTCCGATTTGGCTATTTTGACCTTAAATTGAAATTCACTTTTAATTCTCACTTTTTTGAATAACCCGGATAGATCAGAAAATGGATTTTTTTCTTGGCCTACGGTCCGGGTTATTCACTAAACTGATCTGAATTAAAATCCATATGCCACGTTTTAAGGAACACTTTGGGCAGTATGATCACTTTATATCTAATAAATCGTTATGATGAATTGAGTCCCCCGACATTTCTCTGCTCTATGAAACTATTTACTCACAGTTTAATAGTGAGCTAGGGTCCCCAGCCTCCCGTTGCACCCCCTCATCACTTCTGCTCTAGCCAAGTCTTTTTTGATAGCCAGAGCGGAGACGGGAGGTTAGTGATTGGTTGAGAATGTTGCAAGACCTTTCTCAGCCTATCACTGTTGCCCATTGCTTGAAAAGACTGGAATGGCCTTATAAGCATTGGTTAGCAGTGGAAGGCTCAGAGAGCTCATGTGACATACACAGCCTTTCACGACCTCCAATGACTACTCTGGTTAATAAAGAAGTGTTGCCAGGGCGGACATGGTGAAATTGCACCATGGGCGGCTGGAGACAGTACTTCAACGTTAAACATCAGCCAGCATATCCCTTTCAAAGAGATGAAGTGGTTATGAATCAAGGTGTAAGGTGCCAAAGTTAAGGCTAAAACAGCTGACCTGAAAAGAAATCCAATGTATCTCTTTAAAACTCTGTGCTACCTCTATCCCTCTAATGGTAAAAGGAAAACAATTGTTAACCTGACAAGTTAAAAGATGCAACATTGATGTAAAGGTTGGCAGTAATGGCACATATGACAAAACAAGTGCAAATCTGATGTTTAAGATTTGTGCATTTTAACCAGTAGGATAGTGCTGATTAGCATACAGTGGTTTATAGATGTCCATTTTGAGCAATGCTTTACTAGATTCTAGACATAAGGCCAAAGCACAGAGTTGGGGACACACAATAAGAGCTACACAATTACATCAGGGGCTGCTGTGTTAGATTTAAACCCACATAAAGGGTGTGACACTGTTGAGACACAGATCATTTCAACTTTAAACCAACTCCACACCCAGAATGGGTCAGTGATTGCTGTATGGCCTGCTCAGCTCACAGACTCTAAAACAAGTTTATTATTAGATTGTGAGTTATTAAGGTTTAAGATGAAGTAAATAACAATTGGACTGATCATGATGCTGTTCTAGAGATCCAAAACTCGATTCACTCTAGTGTATCCAAAAGACATAGCATATAGTGATGGATGGACGAACACTATACTGTAGGGACAGATAGGAATGTTTTCTATCTGGTCTGTGAAGGGTTGGTATTAATAGATAATATGTCTGCATTAAATAAAAGGCAGCAAAGAATTCATGTAATTCTCAAGCTGAATTTTTTAGATCATATATTAGATATTTACAATTAGCAATAGATTCACAATTTAGGTCACCGACATGAACCAAGCTCCATGGAAAAACGAGCACCATAAGATTACTAAATCCTAGGTTCTTCGGAAAAAACCAAGCCACTATGAATTAAAATTGTCACATTATAGTATTGCGTCATATTAAGGGGTTTATTCATTAGAACCCAAAAGCAAGTAAATTGATATCCAAACTACAACGTATAGAACAAAAATAATGTATTTCAAATAATACCATCCCCCCCCCCCACACACACACACAACTTAAACTATGCTATGTATACTTCCTGTACACCAAGATATGACTAAACACTGAAATAATAAAACTATTCACTCTAAAGCCATAGCAAATGATTGCAAAATATGAAACATTTAAATTCCATTTACTGTATTAAAACATTGGGTATAGTGTTGTGAATACACCTGTGGCCATTAGATTTAAGTTTTACAATTTGTTTACGTATCACGCAGGTGCAATGCTGTAGGGATATCTTAGTGCTTTAAAAGAGGAAAATATGGACTTCCTGAGTCCAAAAATAACGTCAGGCCTTTCAATAGCAATCCCTTTGTCCTCAAGTAGTTAAAACATGACATGGTGGGTATTATCTGTCCCACAGCTAATTAGCAGTAACAATTAATTAAATAAATAAAAAAAAAAAGTTAGAAACCAGGGATAAGTTTTGCCCTATGAAGTTAGCTGGCTGTTTCATGTAAAGGAAGTCACGATGGAGAGTTTCATTTTCCAATCCAAACAGCACCAGAGAGCTGGCTGGGTAATTCCCCTGCTCCCCCACCTCCATTATAGCCCTATGTCCTAGGGAGGAGGAGGAGGAGGGGGGTCACAGCTAACAATAATGGAGTAGATGGTCAGCATCGTGTACACAGCACAATGCACACCAGGACAGTCACATGTACCATCACACAATACACACACAATGGCAGGGACAGCCGGCCTGGGGCTCTCCAGTGGTTGTGGACTACATTTCCCATGATGCTAGAGGGCAGCCAGAAATATACTCTCGGAAACAGGGAATCGTAAAGCCTCCGGTATACACAGACACACGTGCTCAGCCCCATGCGGGTACACACACACCGTGACACACACACCGACAGACAGACACACAGACAGAGCCCGGGCCCTGCGTGCTCACCTCCCCGGGAGAGATCGGCTCCTCCCCCGAGCCCAACCGTAAGGACTCCATGGTGTGTCCGTGGTAGGCCTCGGACAAGCCGACGCCCGGAGTGCCCGTGACGGTTGTGGACGAACTTCACGGAGAGCGGGAAGCAGCCTGCGGCAAAGCCGAGATTACCGCTTTAAAGCCGGCTTCGCGGTTGCTAGGCAGATTACAGCACCGGCAGCACGCTTCCGTGTAAGCGCTCCGTGATTGACAACTCGAAGGGTCAACCAGCGACCGAGCGCAGGGTGCCGGGGGGCGGGGTTACAAACTGTACTCATGAATGAGCCAATCGAAAAAATTCAAAGCGAGAAACCGCTTGTCCAATCAGGACGCCGAGTGGGAGGGGCTCGAGGCGGTAGGCGGGGGGGTGAAATGAACGAAGTCAATCACAGAGTGAAGGCGGGACTTCATAGTGGTGACGTCAGGCAGAGGCGGTGATGGTGGAGGAAGAAGAGGGGGGGGTCAGTTGATGCTTAAAGTGGCAACCAATGATTGTCCCATAATGCACTCTGAGGGTGGTATGACGTTTCAAGGGTGATGCTAATTTGGATAGAGTCCAACACTCAGACATTTTGATTGTGAAGACAAGGAGTTTAACTCTATACATGCTGTAACAATATAATGAGCTCAAACCAATAATTACAAAAAAATTTACATTTTAATTACTGGTGCCTGGGCTATGATGTTAAAGAGCACTTAATAACAATATAATTGTAATATATTTTCTACAATATCATTATATTAATTATATTTAGTCCAGGGATATTCACTAAAGTGAGAGTTAAGTGAATTTAGAACCTAACGGCAAAATAGACAAACTGGAAAAATTCTCCAAATCACCTATACCTCCAGTTTGTCTTTTTTTTGGCCTTAAACTGAAACTAAATTAAAATTAACTCCAAATTCCTTACAATTCGCAATTAAATGAGTAATCCTGTACCTGTTGTCTGATTTGGAATTCCATGGCTGAGGAAGAGTCATTTAGGAGAAGCGAAACGTGTCTAGTCATCCCTTGATTTTTTTATTTTTTTTCTGTTCTCCCCTGTTATGTGCATTTTTTTTTTGGGTGCATGGACTTTTGGCTGGTGTTTTTCTTTTATTTTGACTTGAGAATAGCACCATTTTTAATAACTCTGACCAAACAAGTCTAGACATTCCATCAAAGATGAGGATTGCCCTGCTTAAACAAGCTTAACAGTTTAAAGGAAAGCATTTTATATATTAATTCATTGTAAATTGTATGGTTCACTTCCTTGTGCAATGCAGAAAAACTTCAGTCAAGACAGATAGATTGTAATCAATTTTCATTCCACATCCCTAACTTTCCTTTAAGAGCTGTCATAAGGTACAATTTGTATAAAAATAAACTTGTTTAACATTATTAAATGCTATTGCTCAGGGATGCTCAACTAAGTACTCAAGGTTTACTTTTGAGTACCCAGAAGGGTTTCGATACTGGTAGTGAAATATTATAGCTAGAGACATGTTATAGGGATGAATATTTAGGAGCAGAATTGTCTTGCCCTTCCAATAGGCAGGATAGTTTTTTTTTTTTTTTTTTTAATGACATAGTTATCATGGTTGTAATAATATTCATCCTGGAAAAAAATGCCCCAGGCATCTGGGCCTTTTCTACTAGATAAACTATCAACTTTAAGTCCACGCAGTGAAACGGGTCAGGAACAAATCATGCTATTTAAGGTCTATGACATCAGCCACCACAAACAGTAGCCACTCTCTGTTTCGTGCTTTTGAGTCTAGTTATATGTTGATTTAAAGGGACACTATAGTCACCAGAACAACTACAGCTTATTTAATTTATTCTGGTGAGTAGAATCATTACCTTCAGGCTTTTTTGCTGTAAACACTGTCTTTTTTCAGTAAAAATGCAGTGTTTACATTACAGCCTAGTGATAACTTCACTGGCCACTCCTTAGATAGCCGTTAGAGATCCTTCCTGGGTCATGGCTGCCTAAAATGCATCCAAACACTCAGTATCTCCTCCCTCTGCATGCAGACACTGACCTTTCCTCATAGAGATTAATTGATTCAATCCATCTCTATGAGGAGATGCTGATTGGGCAGGGCTGTGTTTGAATCATGCTGGCTCTGCCCTTGATCTGCCTCTTTGTCAGTCTCTGCCAATCCTATGGGGAAGCACTGTGATTGGATCAGGCTACCACTTCTTAAGATGTCAGCAGACTGTTTTTCTGAGTCTAACAGCATGCAGAGTTACAGCTTCAGGCTTGAATACAGTAAGATTTTGGTATATTTATGGAGGGATGAGGGGCCCAGGGGGGCAGGGCCGTCTTTAATAACGAATGGACCCTGGGCAAGTGTTTGCTTGGGCCCCCTGTGCCCTGCCGCTCTCGCCCCTCACTCCCTGGTATGCAATCACGGCATCCATCCCAACGCAGTGGCGGTACTAAAGTAGAATGAATTTTATTGGGACCCCCAATTGCAAGGTTGGACTAAAGGTAGAACCCCATCTGTCGTGCAACTCCAACAATGCTTTGACAGCTGGGACTCTACCAATTTCCCATGCTTGCAGGGTTGTATTTAGCACTGAGCCATGTTAGTATGTTTGAATGTAAGTATGTGTTTGTATGGAGTATGTTTGTGTGAATGTGTTTGTATGTGGTACTGGAGTTTGAATGCAAGTGTGCATTTATGTGTAGTGTTTGTTTTTGAATGTAGGAGTGTGCTTGTATGTAGTGTTGACGTTTCAATGCAGGAGTGTGTTTTATATGTAGTGTTGAAGTTTGAATGGAGGGTGTATTTGTATTTAAAGTTGCGGCTCAGATGCACAGGTACACACTCTGACGCACAAGCAGATACACAGATACATACACTGACTACATACAGATAAACAGGCACATACACTGACAGACACACTGACACAGGTACATATATTGACACACACACAGACACATACACTGGTAGACGTACTGACAGACATACTGACACAGGCACATATACAGACATACTGACACACAGACACATATACCGACATACTGACACACACACACACAGACACATACACTGATCAACATACTGACACACATACACTGACAGAAATACTGACACCCACACACTGACAGATATACTGCACATACACCCACATACACTGAGAAATACTGACACACACACACAGGCACATACACTGACACACACAGACTGATATACTGACACACACACACACAGACATACTGGCACACAGACAGATATACTGACACATGCATACACATGCACTAACAGACATACTGACGCACTGACAGACATACTGGCACATACACATACTGACACACACAGATATACACACACATATACACTGACACACAGACAGACATAATGACACACACACACACACACACAGACATACTGACACACACACACACAGACATACTGACACACACACAGACATGCTGACTAACAAACACACACACTAACACACACATACACTAACACACAGATACACTAACACACATACACAAACACACAAACACACACACTAACACAAACACACACATACATACACTAACACACACATACACTAACACACAAACACATACACTAACACACACAAACACACACAAACACACACAAACACTAACACACAAACACACACACACACACACACATCCACTAACACTAACACACAAACACATACAAACACACATTTTTTAAAAAAAAATGTAATCCCCCCAGCCTCCTTACCTTTTGGAGTGCTGGGGGGGATTCCCTGGGGTCCAGTGGTGCTGCTGGGCTCCTGGGCGGGTGGCCGGTCGGGCAGGAAGGCGGGCGCGCGAGGGAGCACTCACTGCTTCCTCTTCAGCTCCCTCGCGCGCCCGCCTTCCTGCCCGACCGGCCACCCGCCCGCCGGGGTCAGCGGGGCCCACGGGGCAGGTGCCTCGGGCCCCCCAAGAGAAACTGGGCCCGGGGCAGCTGCCCCGTTTGCCCCGCGTTAAAGACGGCCCTGCAGGGGGGTTAGATGGTGGTTTTAACACTATAGGGTCAAGAATACATGTTTGTGTTCCTGACCGTATAGTGATCCTTTAAGGCTTCCTATCGATCTATATATTTGTGGCCTGATTTAGTTACTGAATCAGATTGGACTTCAAATACTTGTCCAGAGTTCGGCCACTTACACTTTATTCCATTTAGACAGTCTGAAAAATAGACTTTTGGAAGTGGTGTGATCAGCCCACCATATGGGATGGTTGCCCACAGTATGATACCTTTAGGACATTTACTGCATCCTTGGTGCCAACCAAGATTGTTTACTGCAGAGAAAGTTCAAGGTGAATTTCAACTGATAGCAGATTTCAGCTGGACCAAACATTATTGGATGGCTGAAATCCAGACCCAAATGCTCAAATCCAGGCCTGGATGTTAGAAAAATGCAAACTATTTGACCACTGGCAGCAAAAGCAGCCAGCGGGCAAATAGTTACATAACTATAGCAGTGTGAGCATGCTTTCTAAAAGTCCTGCTTTTGGTGGGACAATCCCTGATTTTGGGGTTACTCTACCGCCATCCCACTTTAGCTCTCTTGTGTCCCCAGATGCTGTCCTCGGGCAACACAGCACTCCTGCATCCTTAGACGCACCAAGCAGGAAGGACTTCAGCAGCACTCCTTGCATGGTCCAGATAGCTGGGTTCGGCCTGGCTATCTTTTCCAGGTGATCCCACCATTTTTCTGGGATCACACTTTATGTGCATTACTAGTGACGTGGGTCACGTCATGGGCAACACCCCCTCATGGCCACACCCATTCATCCAGATTCACAGTTGTTAAATGTTTGAAGGTACGTGTGAGAATTAATTATGTAATGTCTGGCCAGTGCTTGCTAGCCAGCCACCACATTAAAAAAATAAATACACTTACCTCAAAAATAAACACCTAATGGAAACATTAGAGTGCCATAAACAAATAGACACAATTACCCAACAAAACAAAAATACCCCCTCCCTTGTCCTGGCTTTACAATTATGTGTTCTACACCAACGCCTCTACCTTAAATCCATCAAATTATCGTACTTCCTACACAGACTAAAAGCCACTGCATATCACATGAGTGGAAAAGCGAATAAATACTTAGCAAATAGGCTTCAAGATAAGTTAGCAACCACTAGGATATCACACCTGACAGATGAGATGGGAGCAAAAATATTGGGCTCCCAAAGCATAAGTAAAGAGTTCGCACAATTCTATTCCAAGTTATTCAACTTACAAAACCTCAAAGCTCATACCCCATCCCTCCTGGACATACAGTTATATCTCGACGCCATTTCATTAACCCGACTCACATCCGACCAACACCAGTCCAAAAACTTTAGGCCCATTTCCCTCCTTAACACAGATGCCAAGATATATGCCAAAATGCTGGTCAACCGATTGACGCCTCTTCTCCCCTTCCTTGTAAGATGATCAGACGGGGTTAGTGGCCAGACGGCATGGGCTAGATAATACTAGGAAATTGTCAGTGATACTTAACAGGCTTATGGGAACCAGTCGAGGCGGCTTACTACTGGCTCTAGACGCGGAAAAAGCGCTTGACCACCTCGGCTGGCCCTTCTTAAGGCACACGCTGGAAACCTATGGCTTTCCCCTTCCACTCATCACACAAACCTTTGCGTTATACGCTGACCCCATGGCACAGATACTCCAGGCAGGATTCCTCTCCCCTCCCTTTCATATAACGAAAAGTACGAGGCAGGGCTGCCCTCTCTCCGCTCCTATATGTTCTAGCCCTAGAACCATTATTAGAATCCATTAGAACAAACCGATATACACGGAGTGAAACCCCCATAAAGATTAGTGCATTTGCTGATGACATACTGCTCTAGATTACTAACCCTGAGCACTCCTTACCAGCCATCATGCAGATGATTACTACATACAGGAAAGTATCATACTACTCACTTAATACCTCCAAAACACAGGCTCTACCAGTAGGTCTACCAGAGAACGCCCTCTCTCACCTAGTCGAACCTTTCAGTTGGAATGGCGAACAGACACAATGAAATACCTAGCTATTACAGAGACAAAAAAAATCTTACAGACCTATATGCTGCTAACTATATCTAAACCTGGAATTTAGATATAGTACTTCATACAATCCCAATCGCTCTCCCCCCCACATGCCCTCCCCCCCCCAGCTACTTCAGATAGATCCAAAAAGATATAAATAGGTTTGTGTGGGCAGGACGAAGACTACATGTAAACCTAAAATTGTTAAAAGACCCAAAGCTAAGTGGCGGCCTGGCCCTTCCTGATATCCAAACATATTTCCATGCAACTGTTGTTGCAACAAATGTATCGCACCTAATGTCTGGGGTCCATCCCCAATGGGTAAGAATGGAAAATCACCTCCACACCCCTCTTTCACTTTCCACTATCCTCCCTTCCACACCCCTCTTTCACTTTCCACTATAATGTGGTTGCTGAAACACCTAAGCCCAGCAATACCGGCAACCCTGAAGGAGGTCACACTATTCCTTCAAGTATGGGACAAATACAATCTATGAAGAAAACAGGGAATATCCACCCCGCTCGCGGCTCTCCCGTATCTAATCCCCACTGTTAAAGCTAGACCCTGGATAGATGTAGTTGTTACCCACCTTGATCAACTATTTCACTTACATACCTTTATGGAGTTCGACACCTTAATGACTAAATGTATCCTCCCAAACTCCTCTTACTATTCATATGTTCAGTTATGTTCCTTTCTAACACGTGCTTATCCTAGAGTGACACAGCCTCCCACGACCATGGTCACAAGGTGGGAAATAATGTGTATTAACCAATCCATGTCATCAAAGTGTAAACCAATCTCCATGTGTTATAGGTTATTATCACAACATACACACTTCACCAACTCCAACCCAGCAGCACACTGGGAAACAGATTTGCAATGCACATACACCCAAAAACAGTGGGAGTATATAATTAACCTACCTAAGAAACTGACACTTACCGGTGGTATATGGTGCCCAGCTGCCTACACAAAATGTATCCCAATACCTTTTCAATATGCTGGAGGTGCGGTGCGAGACAGAGGTGGGAACCACGCTACATGTGTGGTGGCAATGCCATACCCTTGTGCCCTTTTGGACAGCCATAAACAAAATTATCACACAACTAACAGGGTGAAAACTGCCCTGCTCACCCCACGTATACCTTCTCTTAGATTTACCTACCGCTGTACCAAGATATAAAACCAAACTGATAGTGCATATAGTACTAACCGCGCAAAGGCTAATTGCTAGAGCGTGGAAATTGAGAGCTGCACCGACTGTTACAGAAGTACTTTCTGAAGTCGATAGATAACGCTCATTTGAGCAACACCTTCACCCCATATTCTCACCTAAAAAAATCTACCTTGACTCATGGAAAGAGAAGGACATATGGAGATTGGGTACCTGACATGCTAGGTATGAACCATCCTGGGTGTATAACCATAGAAGACCTTATAAATATACTCACTATGTCTGACTGACACACAAGTTCATGTATTGGTATAATGCGACATTGGAATGCAGGAACATGTGATCTTGAATATGTGTACTAGACATAAACTCTGTGTACAAATCTCTGACCCCCACTCCCCCCTCCACTCCGTTTTACATTCTGTACCCCCCTTTCACTTTGAAAACTTCAATAAACTTTTAAATTGGAAAAAAAAATGTTTTAAATAAATATATCTAAAGAAATCCTATGGGAGTCGATAAGGTATTACTATAAGAGAGTTTTAAAATCTTGTAATGCCCTATATGCCATGCAGCAGCTGGGGCATATCTACTTACTGTTTAAAAGTCGCTAGAAAATCCCCATCCCACAGGGGCATAGGGTGCAGGACTTAAAAATAAATAATGGGAAGTGGTCAGTAAATTGTCCAACCCATGCTCCCACCTCTAATAAAAGAAAAAAGGGAGAAATCCTAATAATACTCCTGCCCACACCCATGGACAGTGGCTGGGGGTCTATTATAGTATAAGGTGGGGAACCTAGGGTCCCCCATGACCCCAACCCATTGACTGCAGGTGGGAGCCCTAATAATAGTTTTAAGGGGAGAGGACCTAATGTCCTCCCCACAGCCCCATTCATTGGCAGCAGTTAGAGGAGATAAAAATATTCGGTGGGGACCTATTGTCATTCCTAGCCTCCACACATTGGAGGCAGGTGTGGGGACTAAACAATTAAGCTGAACATGGACAGGCAAAACCCAAATATTTCAGATCTCCTGGTGGGCAAAACGAAGTACAAAATTACAACATAAACATATAATATTCAAGACTTAATTTTGAACAATAATGTTATTAAAAGGAATCAACATGGTTTTATGACAGGTCATGCCAACTAACTAATTGCATTCTATGAATATGTTAGTCGAACTATAGATCAGGGTGAACCAGTAGATATGATCTGCTTGGATTTTGCTAAGGCATTTGATACAGTTTCACACAAAAGGTTACTATTAAACCTGAAAACAGCTGGTTTTGATGAAGAATTGTGTTCTTGGATAGAACCAGTAGTGGGATTCCAAAATTTTAGTAACCAGTTCTGACTTTTCATATGTAACGCACACAGTCATGCACATATTCACACATTCACGCACACACAAGCACATTGACGCTGTCACGCCTTGGAAATTGCTATTAATGCATTAAATGCATACACCGTGTATTTCTTGCCAATGATTTTTTATTATTTTTTAAGTAATAATAATAAATAAAACAATTCTACATGTTTGTCAATGTTTTAACAGTTAATAATGTATTAACAGTGTGATATAGAACACTCAACTTTTCTTACAAATATTATTTCATTTAAATATATTGAGTTATTTAATAAAAATAATAATCAGTATAATGAACTGTATCAAGTAGTGGTCAATTATTAAAATAAAGATATATAACTGATATATATATATATATATATGTTGGGAAAATTCTGAAACATGAAACATTATTTTAAGTTTGTCAATATAGTAATGACCTATGGGAAACATTTGCAATGTCTATAAAGAGATAATGTAACAGGGAAAGAAAAAATGAAAAAGAAAAGGGAAAAGAAAAAATAAGGGATAATTTCATATCCACAATGATTCCTAAAAAAAGAAAAAAATAGTTGGGAAAGAAAAATAAATCTAATCCTATAGGGAAAAGATTATATGAAACAGCATTTTATGTAATGAGTATATATAAAATAGTCATGTATTCTGTAACTTACACGGTTAATAAAATTAAAAAAACAAAACAATGATATTTGATCAGGAGGGTACTCAGTTGAATTTGAATTTATTTATCATTGCCTTTTATCATTCAGATCAATTGTGTCGTAAAAGGACATTACTGGCTGATGGTATGTGGAGAGCAAGCTTGCATCTCTTGCTTTCAATTAAATGAAGAAGAACATCGGTGACAGTTGGAGTAGCAGCCGATTTCCATAGTTGTGGAATAGTGGAGGTTGCTGAAATAAGTAGCTGTCCCAACATAATACGTTTATGGAATGCTAGAATATCTGGGAAAAGTTTAAGGAGACACATAGTGGGGGTTAAATCAATTGAGAATTCTGTAATGAAAATAATCAATTCTAAAATGTTTTGCAAGTAATTTAGAATTTTGGGGCATTTCCAGAAAATATGAAACAGGGTACATACTTGGCCACATTCCCGCCGACATAACTTAGATTTGGATAGACTTAGTCTACACATTTTAGAGGGAGAGAAGTACCATCTATATAATAATTTTAAATGTTTTTCCAAATGAATAATGTTGCGAGAAATTTCCTTTAAAGCCAATATCAAATTATGCCACTTCGATCGTGTGAATTCCTCACCCAAATCACTCTCCCACTTAATCATATAAGGTAGTTTCATGCCTAGTTCACCTGCAAAGATGGCATAACATTGAGAGATGGTACGTTTCCGGACAGGATCCGAAATATATATTTTTTCTAAAT